TGATACATGCACCCACCAGGAAGGGCTGCCCTTGCTCTCTGTGGCCCACGTTGGGGTATGGCCGAAAGGTGGCAGGAAATCTTTCCATTTACTTGCCTCATGACCTGTTTCATTATATTCTTTTTAAAAAACATTTTTAAAAAGATTTTATTTACTTACTTTAAAAGAGAGGGGAAGGGAGGGAGAAGGAAAGGGAGAGAAATGTCAATGTGTGAGAGAGCCATTGATTAGTTGCCTCTCACACGCCCCCAACTGGGGACCTGGCCCACAACCCAGGCATGGGTTGTCCTGACTGACAATCGAACCAGTGACCTTTCAGTTCACAGGCCAGCACTCAATCCACACCAGCCAAAACTGTTTCATATTTTTTCAAGTCTCTTAAAGATGGGTCTGTTTAAGGTCCAGTGGGCCAGGGATTCCTGTGGAATCAACCCGTTTTGTTACCAAGTTTATCTGACAGTGGCCATTGTCATGCCCAGCCACACCCAGTGAAAATGACCCTGCAGCTGGCAGCTGGGCCGGCCACTCTCAGTTTAAATCTAGAGAGTTATCTTGTTCCCAGTGAGGACTTTTTACTGTTAAAATAAACCTCTTCTCCTCCCACATTTATTCTGTGGTAGAACAACTAGACTCTGAACCAATCAAGAGGCTCGGACTGGCTAGCCCCGACGACTTGGGGCGCGGGGATACTAGCGATGTGTTATCACCAGGTCGAGGAGCCCTGGCCACTCTCCCCAGCCCCACCATGCCTGGTGGCGCATGTTCCCTTGGATGGGGATATCCTCGCGACTGCGAAACTCAGCGCCTGCTTTAACGCAGCAGTTGCTCGCTGGTGGCTCACAAGTGTTTTAGTTTTTAGCCCATTGGTGTATTTTTTTCCCCTAAGATTTTAAACGTGTTTACATAAAAATTGATTTCTGGCTTCTCTTTTTAAAAAACAATAATGAAGAGCTGATGAAATTAGTGCATGGGAAGAATCCACTGGAGCCCAGTCAGTTGGGAAATGTGCCCTTCAGGTTCCCGCTGTCTCTGTCAGGCACCATTGGTCCCTCTATTTTATAACAGGGAAGTAGCTCCCTGTCCCTGTGCTTTGTCAGAAACGACAATATAAAGGATGGCCCAGGAGAGCGTGTGCCCACTTGACTGACTTAGGTAACCTGCTGGCCACCGCAGACACTTGAGTTTATAACCCGGTTTTAACCCACTTTCTCTCATGTATCTGTTCATTACATTTCCTCTAAAATCCTTAATTGCTTTAAAGGCACCATAGTTACTATGCCCACTTTCAAGGTGACCGTGTGTTTAGGTGAGGCTTGTGTGACCATCACCACATCTGGTCTTCTGATTAAAAATTAGTCTACGTCCTGGCATCAGAGGAGGGACAGCTGTGTCCCCTTAGTGTCAGGGGCCTAGGGCCTGGCCTCACTCAGATGGCATCTTAAGAAACTCCTGCGTGCAATTTTGTATGTAGTTAAGAAATCGTAGCAGAACCATTAAAACAGCATGGTTGCCTCCTTTCTCCACTGATTCTGAAGAACCACTGTCCTAGCAACAGGCAGGCTAGCCTTACAAGATGGCCTGAGAAGCACGCTGCTTTCTCCCCAGTTGCCCCGATGCGCTGAAACCTTCAGAGCTGGTTAAATATGGGTGTGGCTCTGTACACAGACTTACAAAATGTGGGTGTAACAGCAGACCCTTGAAAGGAAATGAAGCGATCTCTGTGCATGCCATGCAGTGTCAGGCTCTGCCCACACGCTGACGGCCCAGACTTCCCCTTCCTTTTGTGGGAGGAACGGACCTCCTTTGCCACTTCAAGAAGACCAGAGAGTTCCAAGGGCAGACATCCTACAAGTGCTGCATCTGGAAGCCACCGTAGACTGGTGTGTGGGCAGCCCAGAAGCCCTCAGACCTGGCAGGGTGGGTGTCAGCAGCCCCCGCTTACCCTCCGTGTGGAAAAAGAGATCAACAAGGCCAAACCTGAGTGAATCAATGTCATGTTCACGTGGAAGACAACAGACAATATTCAACATGTTCTAAAACAACACTTCTAGGCAAAGGGCAGGTGTGGCTCCCTCACGGGCCTGTTCTAAACCAGTCTCTATAAAAGAGTGACCCAAACAAGGCTACAGAAACCCCCAAACAGAATGTCACAACTACGGAGCATCTGAAAATCAAACGAGACACTGGATGTTGACTTTAACATATAAAAATACTATAACAAAATGAAATACAAATATATATTAGAATCTGTTAAGTATTCTGTATAAAGAGATACTTTCGTGGTTAGGCTAACAGCAGGCAAAGAGGAGACAAAGTCCGTCCGGCCTTTTCCATCTCCAGACACCTCCACAGGGAGCCCGGGCCACTGTCGTCGGCAGAGCTGCCAGAGCAGCAGCGTCCTTGGGACTTGCCTGCTTGTGTCTCTTCAGCGCGTGATGAATGGAACAGCCCATGGCGACGTCAAAGTGAACTAAAGGCATTCACCGAGGGGATGGCAAGGTGCGGAGATGACTTGTGAGACAGACGATCTCATGGTAGCCCCCTGGGGCTCCACGGGCCCCAGCCCGTGAACAGGCAAGGTGAGTGGTGATCCAGGTCCCTAACAACCTGCAGGTTGGTGGCAGAGTTGAGGAAACCTTGGTCCTGGGGCACACAGTTCTCTAGCCCCTTGTTTCCCTCACCCTTGTGGTGGCTCTCAACCTCGTGACTGGGCCAGAGGTGGGTGTGGAGATGGCCGGGGGCATGGGCACTGCGGAGGGGCCAGGGGGGCCGCAGCAAGCCCACCGGGTGCTCCCTCCCCCACCCTCCCCCGCCTGTTGTACTGCGGCCGCCGGGCTCTTGGCAGCCCTCGCCTATCTGCAGGTGTCCTTTCTACTTTCTGCAAAGCAAAGAAGCCCCTGCCAATCAGGGTCCCCTCAAACCTGGCAAACTGTTTCTCCAAGGCAGTAGGGGGTGGCAGTGGCTAGGGGAGGTCCCTTCGTCGGGATCGGTGGGTTCGAGAACACCCCTGCTCCATGGAAGGAACAAACTAGCTGCACTTGAACCTTCCTGCCTGTCTAGCCTAGTGCTAGCTGTTCTCCAGAGTCTCTCAGTGGCTCAGAAACTCTAGGGGAGAGGGGTGCTCTGCAGCAAGGCCCACACTGCTGTCCATAGGGGCCAGGGGCACTGTGGCCTTGCTCAAGGCTACAAGGAAATAGAGCCCAGTACCTGGTGAGGGACAGATCCAGCCATGATGGCACCTCCCCACTTGGGCAGGACAGGGTCCTCTTTCCATTACAGGGGGTCTGGGACTCAAACCCTTTGGCCCGAGTCCTGGGGTAGTGGAATGGCCAAGTGCCCATAGACACAGGAGGCTCTTGCCCTCTACTACTCAGCAGCCAGGCCCGCCCTCCCCGCCGCCCGCCACCGCTGCCGTGGTAGCTGAGGACACAGGCACACACCACTCCAGCCCCGCCTGTACACTCCCCCACCCTGCTTTCTGACTGCAGATGGAAGGAGCCTGGAAAAGGATGTGCCCACTGCCCTGGCCCACCAGGATTCCCCCGGAGTACTCTGTCTTGGCAAGACACCTGAAACCGGAGGGTGTGACCTGTCTTCCTTCCAGCCAACTTGCTATTTAGGCTCAAAGGTAATCTTTCTGCGTTTTCATTCTGCACAGAAGGGAAGCATCTACCTGTCCTTGCAAAAAAAGCCCATGGGGGCCGTGGCCACGTCTGTGGTCGGAGCCCTCACCCGGCCCAGCTCTTTCCGGGGCACCCTGGCTGCCCTGTGCTGCACTGTGATTGGTTGGCCTGTGTCCACGAGGGCAGAACACCCACAGTACTGCGCCCCGGGCAGGCACAGAAATACTTGTTGATGTGATTAATGAAGATGGATTTCTAACTCCTGCAGCCACCCCTCACCACCCCGGAGCCACAGTGGGAGGGCCTCCATTGCTCTAGTCATCCCACCTCCCCATTTGAGAGCTGAGGAGTTTCAGGTCCACAGGGAAGAACTTCGCGCACAGCAGCAGAGCCAGTAGAGGTTTCCCGATGCCTGGATCGCTGTTCCCTACTGGTCTGCAGCATGAGGGGCTCTGAACCCAACCTCCTCGGAGCCGACCCCTCCTGGCCAAGCATCCTAGCCCAAGCCCCCTACACCCTGCCCATTGGCATTGGCTCAGCAGCAGCAGGCTGATGGCTGGGGAAGCCCAGGACCAGTGCCCCTTTGGTGGCTAGTGTCTGGAGGTGGCGGTGTTTATTCAGCTGAGATCAAGAACCCCCTGTGCTTTTTGGTGAAGTGGGTTCCCCATCCCAAGAAGTCCCAGTGACCGTTTCTTCTGCATGAGCCTCCTCCTTGAAGCTACAATGGTCATCCCATAATGTTAGGATTCAGAGGTTTGGTCCTAAGACCCACCTCCACCCCCAGCCTTGGTCCTGAGGAGGCTCTGCCTGCCAATCAGCCCAGAGGCAAGGGTCACTCCCTCTCTGGCCAGCAGGAGGGGCCCTTCCCCCCTGCAGCCTGGCCTACTGCCCGCAGACGCTGTGTAGCAGAAGGAGCACAGGGCCAGGCTGGGAGGCTGAGAGTCCTTCGAGGTTATCTGCAGGGGTTAAGGGACTCTGGGACCAGCATGGGCCGCAGACTTGAGGGAAAGGCTGGTTTGGGAAGGAGCCAGTCGCTTTTTCAGACCCAGGTAGCAGACAAGGAGGGAGTGTTACCATTCTGCACTTCTCAGCCTGACCTCATGCACATAGCCATTTAACAAAAATCTATTAAGCGCCTCTTTGTGCAAGGCACTTCCGGAGAGGGCCGTCTGCAGCCAGGCCTCACCCACCCACTCAGCCCCCAGCTGCTTGAGGTCAGCCTGAGAAAAGCTGCCTGGCCCCTGAGAGGTGGGCCCCAGCCCACCCAAGAGGGGCCAGCTGCCCAGGAGCCACCCTGGTCATGGCCTGGCCCCAGCCGAGGTCTCCTGGTGGCCACGCCGGTTGCCAGCCCTCCCCTCTCCCCATCGGCGCTGGGCGCTATGCACAGAGGGCACAGCCACACTTGGTGGGCTTCTCCACCTCCTCAGCAAAGGAGGTCCCATCGCTGCACTCAAAGGTGAACTTCCTCCGCTTCAGCCGCAGGCCCTGGCAGCAGCCCTGGCCTGGGCACGAGCCCCGGCACTCCACCCACGACAGCGGGCGCGTGGTCTGGCAGATGGCATAGCCCCTCTGGACCTGGTGAAAGTCCCGGACAGGGTCCCCCCGGCACTCAGACCCTGGATGGGACAGACACCAAGAGAAAGCCTCAGGGCACAACTACGGGCCAGCGCTGCCCCCTGGGAGGCAGAAGGAGGAGGAGGAGAGAGGAGAGGGGGAGGGGAGGGGAAGGGAAGAACCCTGGGGGTCCTCTACCTCTCAGAGCCCACCTTGTCCTTAGCACCCCCCCCCTGCCCAGTGTGCACATGCACAGCTTCCTGCTGGGCCCACAGTGCGGTCAGCGGGAAGGAAGCCCTTTCTAGCTGCCAGGGTCCTCCAGCACCGACGGGACTGCCAGGCCCAGGCGGGCCCCCTGTTGCTAGAGGAGTGCAAGAAGGCTGGAGGTCTGGGAGGCAGTGACGTTACAGAAGGGATTTGTGCTGGGGGGGGGGGGGCGTGGCCTAGGGAGCCCTAAGGTGCCTAAGTTCTGGATTTCTCAAGACTCCTCCTGCCCCCTGCAGCGCTCACCATTCCAGCTGAAGCACCTTGGTCACGTGGACCAGGGAGGGTCTGGGAGGGACTCCCCAACCCTCAGACTTCCTGCTGTCCCCAGTCCCAAAGTAATGAGACCAAGATGCAGAGGTTTGGGCAGGAGCTGTTACCCCGACGATCTCTTCTGTAAGGAGAGACTGCCGCCCAAAGGGGCGCTGACCCCAGATAAGGGGTCTGCAGGAAAAACTGGGCCCGGGCGCGACGGGGGCCCTGTCTGGGGTGGGACTCGGAGCCCAAAGGGTGGGGGGCACTAAAGCCCAATAGCAGCCTAAGGTGTAGGAGGGGGCAGGGGCACAGAGGGGTTGCTGAGGTTGGGAGGAAGAAAAGATCAAGTTGCTAAAGCCAGTTGTGGGGAGGGACCCTGGAGAGGGCACATCAGGAGGGGGGCCCCTGACCTTGCTCACAAAGCTCGCCCGAAAAGCCGGGGTCACACACACAGTGTGCCCCCTTGGTGGCCAGGGCCTGGCAGTGGCCGTGCAGGCACTGCAGGCCCCCACACGGGTCTGCGGGCGCCCCGGCCTGGTTGCACAGGGCCCCCGAGTACCCATCCTGGCACTGGCAGCTGTAGGAAAGAGCGTCAAGGGGCACGCACGTCCCGTGGACACACCTGGAGGGGGCAGAGAAAAAACACTGTGAGGATCGGCCAGAGCCAATCCAAGGCCCCCCCCCCCCCGCCCCGAGCGTACCCCACCCCCATCCTTGGCGTCATGCAGTGTTATCCTGATTCCAAGATCGAAAGACGAAGTGTGTGTGTATATGTGTGTCTGTGGTTGTCTCTTAGGGACCTTTCCCATTAGTGAAAATGGAAAACCAGAATAATAAAACTCTGTGTTAGGCCACATGTTCCGATTCTGAGATTTAAAAGCACTGCCTTTCCCCGCCACAGGGAATGGGAATTTCCAAGGAAGAAAAGAAGGAACCCACAGGGAGGCAGGGGTTGAGGGCTCACTTGTGGCCATGACAGGGGCCATCAGCTGGCTGGTCGCAGTGCAGGCCCCCCCAGCCGGCCTCACAGTGGCACACGGGCCCCGGGCTGGCGTTGGGCTGGCAGATGCCATGCAAGCAGTAGAGCTTCCGGCAGGGCTCACAGCCTGGCACCACGCCCGGCTTCATCCGCGTCTTGGTGAAGTCCTGCAGCTCATTGTTGATGTACAGGTTTCGGATGCACCCGTGGAAGCTGGTGCCATTGAGTATCTGCCACAGGCGGAAGGCGGCCGAGTTCACGTCCACCGGCATCCCTGGGGGGCGGGGGGCACGGGGGCAGAGCTGCGCTGAGTCAGGCTTGGACGGTGCCTGGCACCTGCCTCTGAGGTCTGTTGGGCATCTCTACAGTGTTCCCTCTGGCCCTTGGCCTCTGTCCTGTGTCTGCCACCCTGGGCCAAGGTCCTCTGCCACCTCAGAGGGTCTAGACTCCTTCCCCCGGGGAAATGCAGAAGCTGCCTTCCCTGTGATCAGAGCCTGGGGTGCCAGGCCTGGCGGCAGCCAGCTGACAAGTAAGACTCCGGTGCCTGAGTCTGGCTACCGTCGCCCTGGGCTCCTTCCTTCCCTCTGGAACACCTGTTTTCACCTGCCACTGACCCCGGGAGCAGCAAAGGACTGGGGCCTAGAGCTCAGGTGTATGGCAGTTCATCACCTGCTTTTGTGGTCACCACTTCACAGCACCCTCTGAGGTAGGAGTTGCTAAACGCCATTGGATGCTCAGTACTCAGTGACTTGCCCGAAGCTGCACAACTAGTAAACTGTGGAACTGAGGGGAAAGCCCAGGTTCCCTACCCCTCGTGCCTGCCCAGTGCCCAGGCCCGGCCCTCCACAGCGCTGAGACGGCCCCACTGCACCTGGGAACCTGCTCACCTGGACCTGGGAATGTCCACAGGCGGTGGACGGGGCCACTTAGCCGCGAAGCCGGTAAGGCCAGCTGGGCAGTCCCCAGCTAATGCAGGGTCTCAGTACCGGGGCCTCTTGCAGCAGATCTGGGTCTCTGGGGGCCCCGAGATGGGGAATGGACCCTGAACAACTGACAAGCCCTGTCTGGCCCCAAGCTGGCAGGAAAGATGCCCGCAGTGCCAACACTGGGAAAATCCCAGCTAATGGGCCACTCAGCTCCCCTCCCAGGCCAGGCCTCGGTCCCAACTCGGAAACTTGGGCTGAGCAGGCAACAGCCTGGCTCTCAGCAGGGAAGCACAATCCACCAGCAGCTTGTCCATTCACTGGAACCCTTCCCTACCACCTGGAATGTCCCCCTGGGTCCAAGCCCCAGGCACCAGCTCTCCCGGCCAGAGAGCAACATGGGCCCCACCTGGAAAGGCTCTGTCATCACTGGATGGAAAGGCCTGGGGCAGGGCAGGTCCTCACCTCCCACATAGAGGGGGGCCTCACTGTTCAGTGTGTAGTGTTTGCCGAAGTTGTCCATGGTCATGGGACTTCCGCCATCGATGGAGAGATTCACCATCTGGTCAAAGGTGACCAGCTCAACAGTGTGGAACTGCCCATCGTTGATCGTCTCAGCACTGGAAGAAGGTGGGGTGCCCGTACCCCAGAGAATGAGGTTCAGTTTGGCCCATGCCCACCTGAACACCTCCCCAGAAAGGCCATTGGTCCAGCAACCGCTTCCCAAGGGACCACACCTCTCAGGGAGGAGACTATGGCAACTCAGTGGCCTGTGGCCTAGTCTCTGCTGCTCCCCGGGGAAAGCTGAGAAGCCTGGGGCAGGATTTCCAACCTAATCCGTCTCCCCCTCCCCACTCAGGAGCCCCAGTGAGCCAGAGGTGGGATGCGGAAGGATGAGACCACTGCTCAGGAGTCAGCGTCAGGCCCAAGCTGGGCTATACTCGATGGTTCGAATGCCCTTTCCGCTTGGGCAGCCCAGGTTCTGGTGGTCCCAGTAATGACCTGCTCTTGGCCCGGGAGACCCCTGAGAGCAACTGGTGGGCACGAGGGAGCCCTACCTGTAGATGGCAGAGCTGGGGTAGCTCCCAGGGTCGTAGCTGACACGCACATGGCCCTGATACAGCTCCACCGCGATGTGGTCGTTGTCCCCGTTGTACAGCAGGATCCCATTGTCCTCTGCCGTGGAGACCTGATGGGCAACAACACTTTCTCTCCCACCCCTTCCCACGCAGCAGCAGCACAGGCTGGTGGGCACAGCAGAGGGGTGACTCCTGAGTGGGAGAGAGATGCTGTGTGCAAAACTGTCCTCTGCCTGCCCAGGTGGCATGTCCTCCAAGAGGCACTGACAGAGGCTGGCAGCCCCAGGTTCAAATCCTGTCCACTGACAGTGTGGCCAGGGCCAGACAACAGAGGGCAGATGGGCCAGTGGAGGCCCTGAAACTGTGCGGGGGGTTGGGGGGCAGGTAAGAGCCCTGCAGACCATCAGCCCAGAGGGAAAGTCAGGCTCGCAGTGGACAGCCTGCCCAGCAGGCCTCAGGGGGCTGCCTTGGGGCCAGGGTGGGACTATAGAGAGACAAAGTCAAGAAGGCTCTCTAACAGCCAGAGCCACCCAAACCTGGGAGGAGCCTCTCAGGAGGTAGAGCCTGTCGTTGGAGCTGCACAAGCAGCTGGCACTGTGCCTTAGGCAGGAGATCCCTCTATAATGCTCTTGGAGCTATGATCTCTTTTTCCTGCCAGTCACGCTCCCTTCCTTTCTTCTGGTGACACCTTGCCCCGTGGTCTGCAGAGCTGGCACATGGCCAAGGCTGGGCTAATCACAGCAGCCAATCTCCTTGGACTAAGTGATTGGTCCAGGGGTGGGCGTGTGACTAAAGGCAGACCAATCAGAGGTCTTCCCTAAGATTGTTGATTGTTGTTCAACTAGGGATGGCAAGAAAAAGCCCCGATGAGGATAGTGGGATAAACAAAACCTCTCTCTAAGAATGTGCCTGAAGCAATGGATGAGTTTGGGTGAGTTTTCTTTTTGGGAGCAGTTGGGCTAGCTGTGGTCTTGCTGTGGACCAAGTTAGGCTAACAGAATTTTGGAGAGGTGATAAAGCGGAGGGGAGCAGAGTGAGCATGTTTGAGAGGCTGACGGGTTCAGAGAAAACAGAAGAGGACAGAAGAAAGGAGAGAACGATGTGGCATTTGGGATAGGGAATGGAATTTTGGGACAAGAGAGAAATGACTAAAGAAGAGTTTTGAATATTTTATCATGTGATGTGCAACATAATCTACTCTCCACTTCCTCCTTGAGAAATATTCTGCAAAATTCCTATATTATTTTTCGATGCTTGTTGAAGTGGGGCTTGCTTTTTTTCTCAACATGAGGTTCTAAGATGGAATTCAAGACATAAAATGGCAAAATAATGGACTGCAAGGACTTTTGGTTAAATATATAAGCAAGAGTTAACCCTGGCCATACTCCTGCCACCTGCAAAAAACCTGTTTGCAGCGTTGGAGGCTGAAGCGAAGGAGATGGGATGAGATGGTGGGAGAAGACCCTGGTGAGTTTGGTTTTCTGGATCCAGTCACCCATGGAACCACCTCCTCCCCACTCTTCTGTGAGACTGGTTTTGTGACCCAATATCCTTTCCAATTGTGCTTAAACTAGTTCAAGCTGAGAGGCTGACCCCCCATCCGAAGACCTTTGACCAATGTGGGGGCCTCTCTGTTGTCCTGAGCATGGATGCATCCTGATGCTCTGACCCTAGGCCAGGGCCCCCCGCTGCCTGGCTCCCCTCTGTGACCCGCGCCCTGGGCACGCACCTGCAGCGTGATGTTGGCCCGCGGCCAGTTCTGCAGGTCAGTGAACTGCAGGTAGGTGTCCCGATCCACGAAGTTGACGCTGAGCAACTTCTCACACTCGGGGCCACCAAAGCCCGGGAGGCACTGGCACACGGCCCGGTTGCCCTGGTCCACACAGTTGGCCCCGTTCTGGCACTCCGTCCCCTCACAGGGGTTCTTGGGGGCAGGTGGGCGGGGAGGGGTCTCGCAGAGTTTCCCACTGAGACGGAAAGGATACAGGTCAAACAGGGCACAGGGGCAAAGAGGCACCTTCCTCCCCGCAGGTCCTGGAGAGGAACTGACAAAACATCTTGGGAAACTAGATCCTTAAGGCGACAGAAGATGCTCCTAATGAACATTTTTCCCAGGAAAACTAAGAGCCAGAAAGGTCCCTGGACCAGCAGCATCAATGTTACCTGGGCACTTGTCAGAAATGGGAAACCTGCTGAATCTACTTTTTGACAATATGCTGGGTGACTCATGTGCACATTAAAGTTTAAGAATCACGCACTGTTCATGTCTCATTTTACAGAAAAGAAAACTGAGGCTTAAAACGCAAGCAAGAGAGAGAAGACTCAAATGACTGAAGTAAAGAAATAAAGAGGGGACATTACCACCAACAGGTAGTTCTGATCCACGCTACAGCAACCTGTAGCGTCAGTATCCACAATAGCCAAGAAGTGGATACAATCCAAATGTCTATTAATAGATGAATGGATAAGTCAATGTGTTATATTCATGCAATGGAATATTATTCAGCCATAAAAAGGAACGGAGTTCTGATACACGCAAGCACATAACGCTGAGTGAAAGCCAGTTACAAAGGAGCACAGATTGTATGCTTCCATTTATATGAAACATCCACAATAAGCAAATGTATGCACACAGGTACTTGTAGATTAATGGTTGCCTAGAGCTGGGATGGAGAGAGTTTGGGGTGACAGATAAAAGGTGCGGAGTTTCTTTCTGGAGTAAAGAAAATGTTTTGAAATTGATTGTGGTAATGAAGGCACAACTCTGGGAATATACCAAAAGCCACTGAATTGTACATTGTAATCAGGTGGATTGTATGGTATGTGAATTATACCATAGACTCATTAGACTCATTAGAACTATAGGGGGGGAAAAAAAGAGGACCTAAGCAGAAGATGGGAGGTGGGCGGCCAGAGGAGGGCAGCATCTTCCCCGCCTGGCCCCCCAGAGGAGCCAGGACGCAAAGGTCAGTGGCCTTTACGGCAGGATGTGTCTTCAGAGATTCCCTGAGCACTTACGTGATGGGGCACCGCCCACTAATCTGTGCCCACCTCCCACTCCCTCCGCCAAAGAGGTCAAGGACCCTCTGCCTATGCTCTGGGTGGTTAAGTACCTTCCCCAAGGCCACACGGCTGGCCTTAGGCGCATAGCCAGGGTTCAAGCCCCAGGGCCCCGCACCCTCACCGCCACCCTTACTCTCTCCCTCAGCCATGTCTGGGGGCTCCCGCAGCCCGGGGCTCCTGGCTGGGAGGGCCGGCCCCTCATGGTGTGCCCAGGGCCTCACCTGTAGCCCCCAGCACAGCGGCAGGAGTAGCCATTCACCTCGTCGACGCACTGGGCCCCGTTCTGGCAGCGGTGGCCTCTGCAGTCATCCAGGTTCTCACTGCAGTTGTCACCTGCATAGCCTGGTGCACACTCACACCTGGAGGTGGGCAAGGGGGGGTGGGCGGTCAGCCAGGAGCCCGCGGGCCCAGGGCCTGTGTGTGGGACAGAACCTCCAGGCCCTGGGCGTCTGTGGGGTCCCCAGGAGGTCAATCAGAGCCCTGGATAAAAGATGTCCCCAGCCTGTCCTGGGACCCTTTTATAGGACAGAAGAGAGCCTGTGTGGGTTTGGGGGGCTCTGGGCTGGTAGCATGGACACCCAGCAGCAGGAGGAGAGGGGAATCTCGTCAGGGCAGATGCAGACCCACCACCAACAGCACCTCCAGGGCCAAACTCCAGCCCCTCCCGGACCTGCGCAGCTGCTCTCCAGCGCAGCTCTGAGTCATGGGGCTCACCTGTCCCTCCTCCCCGGCGCCCCCAGCGTCTCCACCAGCCCAGACTCCTGGCCCCAGCAGGGCTAGCACCCACCTCTCTGCGAGAGCCTGACTCCAGGCCAACCTCTGCTTTCCCTGCCTGAATAGTAGCTCACTGCTCGCCTGAGGCTCTGTTTCAGCCAACCATTTGCCTATCAAATCAAATGGAGGACACCACCCCCTCCCCGCCCTTTTCCATCACACTGTGTTTGCAGAACTGCAGACGGGGGCAACATCTTAAAAACCCATGACCTTCCTACTGCACACGGTCTGCAGGCGACAGAGTGCTCCACACGTGCTGGCAACAGACATGCTGACAGCAGTCCAGGGCGCTTTTTCCACACCTCCTGTGGCTGCGTAGGTTTCGGAATTGAGAATTCTTGGATTTGGGAAAGATAATACAGTGCTTACAACTGTATGTTATCTAACATGCCAGGGGATCTAGGGCAGCCCCTCCGTCAAATGTGTTCAAAGTTCTGCGGTACAGTCTACATGCATTCACACTGGATGGTGGGGACTGTAAGGGGCCTCATATCACGTGACAGCTTTTCTTACCAAATACATTCAGGCCAGATCTGATTTTGCTATCAAACTGACTTTTGGCTTTCACAGTTTTGTGGATTTTGTAACGGGATGAGAAATTGTGAATCTGGAAGGATAATAGCTATTTGTGGAGCATTTATCAGATGTCGGACATGGAGCTAAGCGCTTTCCACGCATTCTGAGCCTTACAACCACCCCAGGAAGAAGCTTCTGGTATGTCCAGCTTGACATGAGAAAACTGAGGCTAAGAAGTGATGAAGTCATCCATTCAGGGTCACGCTGGTGGCAAAGCGGTCCCCTTGGCCACGCCCCGCTCTGACTCACAGGAACCCTGTGTGGCTGAGACCAGACCCACTTGACAGGTGAGGTAACGGGGAGCTGACACGGCAGCGCTTGCCCGTCGCTGGCCCTGGACACGGGCAACACTGACCTGGGCCCATCCGGGGTGCCCACACACTGGGCCTCATGCTGACACGGGTTCAAATCTGGGGAGCAGAAGTCCACTAGCTGCTCACAGGCCCTTCCTGGGGAAAGAAGGAGGGAGAGGCAGGAGAGGAGCTGCCCCCATGCTCTGCCAGGCAGGTGGCCCAGCAGAAACCTCCTGCAGACGCTGAGGCAGGGCACCAGCCCTTCCGCCCGTGGGAATGGGATTCAGACCACGCATCGTAGCCCTCAGCTGCCCACAGACACTCAAACCCCACATACCCACATACTGCCGGGGGCACCGGCAGGTGTAGTTGCCCACGCCGTCCACACAGGTGCCCCCATTGGCACATGTGTGCTCCACACAGTCGTCGGCGTTCACCCCGCAGGTCGGTCCTTCAAAGCCAGCCGGGCACGAGCACCTGCGGGGCGGGCGAGGAGGGAGAGGCGGGTAGGCCCATGGCCAGAGCGGCAGCCTGGGGCCACTGGTCAGTATCATCATCCCAGAGTCTCTGTCCCTACTCCAGGCCAGGCCTTTGCTAGACGTGGGCGTTAGAAGTAAACAAGACCAGCCCTGCACTCGTGGGACTTACAGTCTAGTGAGGGAGAGGATGAGGAGACAGGCAGCCAGAGAGACGGAGGGTATCTGGATAGTGCAGCCCTGAGGCTGGGGGGTGGGAACAGAGGGGCAGAGGACACCTAGCTCCTCCGTGGGGGGAGTGGTCAGGGCAGGCTTCCTGGAGGAGACGATGAGTTAGGGACCCTGACAGGAGAGTGCAGGAATAGGAGGGGAGGCAGTGGGGGCCGAGGCATGGGTAAAAGCCCAGAGAAGACCCTGCATTCGGTCCTCTGGGGGAGGCCCTGCTCAGGCAAGTAGTTCAGGTCTTCAGGAACACAGACTTCAGGGACGTGGGAGAGTGGGGCTGGAGCAGGTTGTGGGGAGCCCTGGAGGTCAGTGACCTTCCAAACAGGCACGCCTTCCCCGGGGGCACCTGGGGTTTTCCAGGGGGTGGGTGGGTCAGGGAGGTCTGAGAAATTAATTTCCAGGTCTTCAGGCTCTGCAGAAACTCTTCCCTGGGCTGACCTGCCCCAGAGCTCCACAAAGGCACACACAGCTCCCCCGGCCTGGGGCCTAAAATCCCAGGGCTCCAAACAGAGGGACAACTAGGAACACTGATGTTTCGAAAGTGAATGAACAAATGGCTTTTGCAAGTCCTGAGGTTTCCAGTTCCATGTGTTAAAAATAATTGGAGTAAGACCTCATGGAATTGTCAGCTGATAGACCATTAAAAATAATTTTTGATGACAGGTCACTCTGGGGTTTTTGGCATTTAGACTCTGAAGGATTTCATAGACTTGAGTGATGTGGCTACAGTAACACTGCTTCTAATCTTATCTGTTTATTTAGGTGAACAAACTTTCTGAGCACTTACATATATATATATATAATTGTGTGTGTATGTGTGTGTATACATATAGTTTTATCTCATTAAGAGATGTGTCTAAGGAAATTCTACTTTATGTGTAATAACTATCCAATTTTTATACAGTAATGTTTTGATCAATTGTTTATTATTGATCATTGTAATGCTAAGTCAGTGCAAAAGAAACTTTTAATCAGAGGCTCATTGTGACAAGAAATAAAGGAAACTTCGCATTCACACTGTGTGCCCGTGTTGGTGGGGGAGGAACGCAACAGGCCGCTGAAGAAAACTCTCCGGCGTGAGACCAGATTACATTAGAAGGAAAGTGGGAAGGCGGCGTGGGGAGCCATAAAAATACTACTTCAAGAAGAAAAAAGAATGAGGTAAATGTTTAAACTGTAAAAGAGCAGCTTATTTGTGTAATTTTTATGGTATCAAATTGCTATGTGACTCAGATTCCATTGGAGAACGATAAAGAGTGTTAGTTCTATTTTAAATGTTAATATTTACAATATCCTGAAAACGGCCTCATTTGCAACAAAAAAAATTAAACTTACAATGAAAAATTTTAGCTGTCACTCCAAGAATGTGTGAGGATGTATGAAGTTTTAAAACTTGGAGCGGGGACATGTGAGCAAAAAGGCCTGAAGCCCACTGTTGCAGGCCAAGCCCCGGGGTTTAATTTTTGCCCCGTGAAGATGGGGGAACATAAAACAGAGGGCTGAGGTGCTCAGCTCTGCATTTCTAAAAAGGCCCTGTGAGCCTCAGGGTTGAGGGGCAGCTCAGGGAGACAGCTCTTTTCTGCCTACAGGGTCCCCCCGAGTGGCCTTCAATATGTACCCCCAGCTGCACCCCTCTATTCCCAGCAGGGGAGTTTCTGGGGATGTCCTCTCAGCCCCTCCACAGGCATCCCCTCTCAGGAGTCCAAGGAATGAGGAGGGGGCTTCGATGGAGCTGCCGCCCAAGCCCAAAGGAGGATGGAGCCTATTGTAAGGACGCCGTTGCCAGGGCAACAATGAGCTGAGAGGCCATTTATTTTTCTTCTTTGTATACCTGGTAATTTGGGTTTGCAGAGACAGGTTTGGCTATTTCTGTCAGTAGATGCAGAGCCAATTTGGTCGGCCGGCAACTTATTTTCAGCCACTAAATATGCAGCTTTCTTCAGAAAAACTCTGGGCCCAGGAGAGCTCTGGGAATTGGGGTGTTTGGTGAGGGGTCCTGGGGGAAGCAGGTCAGTGTAAAGTGGGTGCTTGCGTGTGATGTCAGCACTGAGAGAGGCTGGGAAACCGCCTGCCTATGTGGAACCAGGAGAGGGGGCGGGGGAAGCTGCGGAGGGCAGGAGCGGGACTCGCTCCCACCTCTGGACAGGCCTCCTGTCTCCGGTCCTTGGGGTGGTGGCTTGATTGGAAGGAGGTGCCTAAGGGCCCTGCCTTCAGGCAGCGTTGGTACTACAAGCAGATGTTTGACTCCATCTGTTAGAGGCTTGAGTTAGCAGAGATGATAGGGGTTTAAAATGCCCCAGATTGCCCCTTGGCACTGCCACTGCGTATGCCCTTGGTCACGGATGCTGAGTGCCATCAAAAGAGCGGTCTGGCACCAGGCAAAGGCCGAGAGAGGCCTGGAGCAGGAGCGGGCACCTCAGGTCCCAGCGCCAGCCCGTCTGCCGCTGCAACTCCGTCGCATGCTGTCGCTGCCTCTGTGCAGCGGGCCTGGCCAGGGCGGGTGTGGAGAGGCTTCCAGTGGGTGTGTGCTCCCTCCGAGCCCACCTTCTGCCTCCTCCCACAGCACAGGGCCAGGCGGGGGGCTAGCCACTCCATTTGGAGGAGGGGGCACTGAAGCTTGGGTGCCGGGCCCATCAGCACCCTGCCCACCAGGGTCCAGCCCCTGCAGGCACTCACGTGAAGCCGGCATCCTCGCCCTCCTGTGTGTGGCAGGTCCCGCCGTTCTCACAGGGGCCACTGGCACAGCTGTCCAGGGACACCTCGCAGTCCCGGCCCTGGGGAGAAAGGCAGCGATGGGGACCCCAGGGAGACCCAGGGGCTAGCGCGAGCCAGCAGAGACAGCCAGCGCCCTCCGGACATCAGCCTGCCTGTCCCAGCTGTCACCTGTCCATTCATTCGCTGCAGCACCGGCTCTGGGCCAGGAACTGTTCTGGGGGCGTCGGGGGCACAGTGAGGAACAAGACAGACCCAGCCCTGACCTACGGTACCAGCACCGGGGCGGGGGGGCAGCCCTCCTCCTCCGTCTCAGCCTCCACTCACCTTGTAGCCGCTGGGACAGGTACACCTGTACACGTCGAGGGGGTCGTTATGGCAGCTGCCTTGATTCCGGCACGGGCTAGACAAGCAGGGATTGCACTTGGCCTGGACAGCCAGAGTGGGGGGGCCTGAGGCAAAGGGAGGGCGTCAGAACGGGGAGGACAGGGGTGAGCAGCTCCGACCCCGTGCCGTATCCCAGCCCCTGCCCCATGGGGCTGTAAGGGCTAAATGAGCTCCTCTGCCAAAAGCGCTTAATAGGCTAGTGCTGCACGCTTTGTGGTGGCCGGGGCAGGGCCGTCAGTGTGAGAACGCCAGTCGCTACCACTGAGACCAGATGGCCTTATGTGAGTCTGCGCACACCCTTCTGAGGCAACTGCCCCCAGCCCTGCCACCCGCCAACGAAGATAACAAGCGTGGCCACCTCGGCAGGAATGAGGCGCAGCTGTGAGGAGGCCACACTTAGGAGAAGGGCCACGTGCCTTGAAGTTGTTTCTCTCAAGGCCAAAGGGGGAAGGAGCCTCTCCCATCACCTCTCTAGCTACGAGGATGGCCTTCTCCGGCCCCTGCAGGACTCCCAGGCCGCCCTGCCCTGAACTTGGAGGTGGACAGGGAGCTGGCAGCCAGGCTCCCTGGGCACTGCCTAAGAGGGGCAGCAGGACCCCACAAGAATAAACAGTGAGAGCAGCCAGCTAACTCAGTTTTCCACTTAGACTCCTGGAAGCGGAGAAACATCACCTCTGCTCAAAGGCACACGCACACACAGAAACAGAAACAATTTTCCATAATAACTGGAAGGAAGCATGAGGGGCCTTCCCTGGTACAGGTGGGATCCTGCTTCTTGATCCGCATGCTGGCCACCTGCGTGTGCTCAGTTTGAGAAAACTCAGCGAGCCATTCACTTACGACCTGTGTCCTGTTCTGTTATGCATGTCGTATTTCAATAAAAAGTTAAAAAAAAAATTCTCACTAGTCCCAACAACACCCGAGTAAATAAATCCTGAGCAAATGTTTCAACACAAATTGGCCTGCTCCCAGCAGCTGGGAGCTAAGCCCCAGATCGGGCCCTTGGCACTGCTACCCCCGTGACAGCGTCCTGCACGCAGGGTGGCCCCGGGCCTCCCCATTAACCTACGGCTGTCAGTTTCATTTCCGATGGTGGTCCGTGAGCTTGCAGAGGGCAGGGGCCGTGCTCCAGGAGCTCTGGTGCGCTCCCCCAGCGGAGCCCCAGCGCACAAAGCCGAGCCGGGGGAAGCCACTCCGCAGCCTCACTCGGCTCAGCAGGGTTCGCGGGGCTCGAGCTGTCAGTCAGTCAGTCCCTGAAGGAGTGTTTACAGGCACCCAGGGTGAGGCGCCTTCAGAGCAAACCCAGAGGAGCCTCCGGCCCGCCCCCGTTTTTCTACAAATGTCAGGAGAGTGGCCCCCGGGTTCAGCGGCTCAGGGATTTTTAGCTAATTGCTGAGCACAGTTCCTACCAAAGGGAGGCCTGAGTGCTCGCAGTGCTGAGAGGCTTGAAGCTTCCAGAAATGCGGTTGCTATTTTTACGTTCCTTACATAACCCCAGGGAGAGATTAAAGCCCTTACAGCCTGAGAATTTTCTGCCTGTTTTTTTTCGCCCTTCATTGTTATGTCAGGACTAGAAGGCAGTCATGCTAACAAGCTGCAGGTGCCTCAATCCTGCCACCTGGCCCCTCAGCCCAGCTGGTCAGCACAGGCACATCTGGAAGGCCCCGCCAGGGTGAAGCAGGTCCCGTGGGCCGCCAGCGGCGGGAGAGGGGGTACAACCCGCAACCCTCCCCCACTTTCTCATGCTCCTTGGCTCACCTTGGCATTCAAACTTCTTGGCAGGCGTGGTGAGGAGCAGCTTGCCCTCCATGTCTGGGGGTCCAGCGCAACGGGCAATGCCCGGTTCCTTGTAGCCTGTCTTCACCCAGCTGGAGAGCCAGCGGAGGTGGCAGTCACAGTACAGGGGGTTGGCACCAATGGCCCTGGGTCAGAGAATGGAGAGAAGCAGGCATTACAGCTTCATAGCTCCTCCACCAATGGGTGCCTAGGGTGCTGGGTACCACACCAGGGCCTGGCAAAAGTCCTAATTTCACGATCATGTACTGTGTCACCAGCACAGTCTCAAGTCCTTCGCATGCATTGCCTTGCTTGGTCCTCATCACACCCTACTATCCCCATTTGACGTGTTGAGACTGAGGCTCCAAAAGGTGGAGGCCCTTGCCTGAGATTTCACCAAGAAAGGGGGAGGCGGGGCTTGAACTCGGGCTGTTGAGGCCAAAGCCTACGAATGCATCGCCTCCCGGGGCACGGTGAGAAAAGGACCAACACCTACTACTGCGATGAAATCCAGCTGCTCTTCCCACGGCAGCGCATCTGATCATCTCGTCAGGCCCGCAAGGTAGGTTTTTCCCCTCCCTCTCAAAAATGTGGGAACTGAGCCTCCCGTGGAATAGGTCGCTTCCCTGAGGTCACAGAACTAGTGAAGGGCCACCCGGGCTGCAGATGCAGAGCTGTCGGACTCCGAGGCCCATTCTCTTTAGGGAGCACACGAATGCATTCTCATTATAAACCTCTTTCAAACATCACAGACCCAAAGTCTCTGCCTCACACAACATCATGAAGGAACTAAATGCCACTGGATTATACACATTAATATGGTTAATTTTCTATTACATGAATTTTACCTCAATTTTTTTAAAGGCACATTCCCATGTCATGGAGGGCATGCAAAATGGAATAACATTGGTAAGGGGAATTTTGTGATCTCTATCAAATTACCAGTGCAGTTGCCTTTTTACCCAGCAATTCTGTTTCTGGGAGTCGATCTCACAGATCTACCTGCACAAAGTGCATAAAGACATCTGTGCAATGGTATCAATCGCAGTGTTATTTGTAATAGACCAGAAATTCCCAGTGCTCATCAGTGTGGGGAGTGCTTGAATAAACCGTGATATATCCACATTTCAAAAAAGTCTACACCCACAGTCCCTGCCAGCCACAGAAGGACACGTGGTTGCCATGCTCAAGCGTGTAGCCTTCCGGTCCTTCCCTATATTTACAAGTATCATATCACACATTATATCCACCCAAACTGCTTGCTTCTTGTCACTAAACAGCATGTCTTAAGAGATCTTTCCAGGCCAGAGTATATGAATCCATCTCATTTTGTCAAATGGCTTGACAGCACCCCAGAGAAAGGGTTGCCTCATTGCGCTTATTGAGCCCCTCCCTGTAGCCAGGCACTCTGGTCATTTCCAACAATGGCCAACACTCTTGTACATGCCTCTTTGTGAAATGAGCATTTCTCTAGAACAGATACCTAGAAGGAGGGTTCAGGTTGCAGAGGAAGTGAACGTAAAAAAAAAATGTTAACAGTTGCCCTCCAAAACAGGTCGTAAGGGCTTTCTACACACACCAGCAATGGAAGGCCACGTCCGCCCCTCACATCCCCATCCCAACACTGTCTATGCCCAGCCTCTTCATGTTTTACCAAGCTGGTGGGCAGCGAGGCTGAAAGATGAACAAGACAGGGATTTGGGGACAAGAAGGGGCCAGAGTTCTTTGATCCAGCAAAGAGGAAAAAATCAGAGCTTCACGCCTGCAGTTTTTGAGAGCACCATTATTTTGAGAACGTAAGGCTGTATAAGGTCGATGAGAACAAGCCCACGTTAGGTAACCAGTAGCTACGCGCTGCCATCTTCCACCCGTGCTTGGGCAATGCAGAGGAAGCGGTTCCCCTTCCGATGAGAGCGGTCTGAGGAAAGCGGCAGCGACTCTGAGCAGAATTCCCCCAAATAGCACATCTGATGATGGTGCGTCTTAACAAGCAGGCTGAACAAGGCTTGGACTCCGGCCCCGGCCCAGTCGCTCATTGGCCCGGCGACCTTGAGCGGCTTGCTTCCCATCTCTGGGGCTCACTTTATGTCTCGATAAAGAGCCTGCAGTCTGGAGAGGGGGAAAGACAAGCGCATATAACCTACAACAGGCGCCCAGGGAATAATGCAGCCTGGAAAAGAAAGCCAGTGCAACCTCGACATGTATTTCATTTTTTTCTCTCCTGATTTGCTGACAGCATCCATCCTGGCTAATGGGACAGGAGACACTTTCCTCTTTCCGCTGAACAGAACTAGGGCTTCTCAGAGGTAGAGGAAGCTCAGACTCTGAGTTTTTGAAGTGCCAGTGTGGTTTAAAAAAAAAAAAAGACTTTTAAATAACCGGAGTACAAAAATTGTGGTATATTAAGATGTTTACATTTACCAGATTAATATGTTTAACATAACAGGTATAAAGAAATGTAATTATGTTATTCCTAAGATAAAGACAGAATTTATTTTAAAATATTTTTTTGTAGTCTGCTGTGGGAGTGCGGTCTGGTAATGAGCCAGAAGCTCCAAGTTCATTATGAACGGCTGCTGCTTTCAGCCTTGTAGCTCCCTTACAGAAAACGCAAAGAGACCCTCTGAGGCTGCTGTGGGCGTGGGCATCTTGGACAGGTTGTAGGAGCAGCCCAGGTCCCAATTCCCACATCTATTACCCCATAAATGGCAACAAAGCTGCACCTCAAATGGAAGTGTCCCTTTTCAACTCCTAATATAAAAATAGTAAAGAATAAAAACGACCAAAGTCAATATAAAGGTAATCAAAATTCTAAATTATGGTTTGATGGGCATGTGCTTGCCATGGTTCCATATGAAGCAGACTCAGAGCCACCGCTGACTTCAATATTTCAAGCTTTAATTTATCCAATGGCCAGGTTCTTGTGGCTCATACAGTAGTACTGGTAGCTCGTTTTCACCCAGGGACCACTTTCCCCCCCAAAAAACTACTGTGAACTTAGTGGGGAGTGAAGAGCCACTGGTCCAGCTGAGACACAGCCCTGGGGATGGCAGCTGGGCCACTCGTCAGTCCGGAGGGACTGTGGATTCGGTCCCCGACCAACATATAAATAACCCTGTGCTGTTATCTTTGGCATAGCTTGGAAGGAGTTGAAACAGTAGATAGTGGGTGTGCTCATGCCAAGACCCTGCCAGGCTCCTATTCATGTGGCTGGGACCAAAACAGCTTTCCTAGGGCTGTTTTGTACAGGTGCCACTGTGGCCTTTAGCAAGCGCTAAAACAACAAGCTCTCCTCCACCCGAGCCCGTCCTCCTCCCCGCAATGCATCCGTGTGCACCCCAGACTCCTTCTACTGGACCAGAGCTTCAGGGGAGCAGGAAGCACAAATCCCCGCCACGCCCGACACCAGCGGGCACCGGTAAACATTTGCTGAGTGAACGCCAGCTGAAAAGCATGAGAAATGCACAAACCTCAGTCTGAAAGCAAATTCAAAGAGAAAAGAATCATCCACCATCCCATATGTGTAACTAATTTAATATTCACCCATTCCCTTCCAGTTCTTGTGTGTGTATGTCCATCTTTGAAATGAGTATACCATCTTCTTTATTCTAGATATTTTCATCAAATAATAAATTACAGTGTCATAATTATAATCAACTACTGGCTATTCTGTCATAGGGGCATTCTTTAATCATTGCATATTTACTTTTTATACCAAATTCTTAATGAATTCAGAAATCTAACTTTTCAGCGTGCAGCAAATTAGAGGCAACAAAATCTCAGGTTATAGAAACGAAGAATGGTGTTTGGGAACCTTGGCACAGGACCTGACACATAGTAAATATTTGCTGATGGATGGATGGATGGATAGACAAGTGGACGAAAGGTGAGCTAACTGCAAAGTAAATACAAAAACAAGCAGAAGCAGAGAGAGGTGCAGGGTGCGGAGGCCCAGGGCAGCGATGAGTGCTCACAACCCTACAGCATGTTAGAACCACCGTGGACATTAGAAATACCTGTGTACAGGCCAGGAAAGAGGCCTGAAGAGAGGAATAAACTGAGATCCTACTGCAAGTTGATGGCAGAACAAGGACCTAATGCCACACATCCTGATTCCTAGAGTTCAACGGGTTTAAATATGGTGAACCTCATCCTCACCACACCCTAGACCCCCCCACACGCACACACACACTGCCAGTGAAGGGGCGAGGCCCAGGCCGGAGCCACAGGAGGAACAGAGGGCACCTCCGGGCAACAGGACCACTGGGTGCTAACTCTTGGGCACCCCTCACTTGTCATGAAGCCCTGAGCATGTTCCTCCCTTCAGGCAGCACGTGGCCTTTGAGAAGCCAAGGCTGAATGTGGTGAGTCTAAGCCATCCTTTCGCCATTCCTTGACTCCCTGTAAGCATTCAAGAAATCCTTATGCAGTAGTTGCCACTCTTCCACACAAAGGAGATAATGATACACACATGCACTTACCCATATATTCCATCAATATTGCATGTGCACATGCCTGAACACAAGCACGTGTCCATTTCCCAAGCTATAACAAGTTCCATTCAAAACCTTGGGTATAAAGGGCAGAGTTCATTCAGGAGGTTGCTTCATAACAATGGAAGATTTCTTCCAGCCCTGGCTGGTGTGGCTCAGTGGACTGAGCGCCAACCTGCGAACCAAAGGGTTCGATTCCTGGTCAGGGCACATGCCTGGGTTGCAGGCCGGGTCCCCAGGAGGGGGCACGCGAGAGGCAACCACACATTGATGTTTTCTCTCCCTCTTTTTCTACCTTCCTTCCCCTCTGTCTAAAAATAAATAAATAAAAAAAATTTTTTTTTTAAAAGAAAGATTTCTTCCACATAAATGCTGTCTTGTAGAGAAATGGGGCTTAGAAGCAATTAACACATCTAATCGGTAACGCCAGTGTGCTGTTCTACAATGACTGCTAAATTGATCTTTACTTATTTGTTTATTTCTTACTAATTGGATCTGACCCAGTGTCACTGTTCTCCTAAAGAAAACCTGAATTTATAGATAGGTATGAGTTCAAATTTTGTTTTGGAAGCTTTGGTTTTTGTTTGTGCAAAATATGTCATTTTTTTCACTTCCCATTTGAAGAACAAAGCCTCCAGATTTTGAGCTGGAGACAAGATCAGAATGTATTGAGGTATCATTCCTATTTCATGGGGAAAGAGGAAGGGTAGCCAACTTTACATTTAAACCCCAAGCATAAGAGTTACACAATAGGGGGAACCCAAAGGTGTCCAGAAAGGTGGACCAGATGGTTGGAAAGGCCTTGCCCGGCGGGGCGGAGGACGGACGCGGACACTCGGCATCGCCCGGGGAAAGCAGAGGGGGCTGCGTGGGCCCGGAGCGGCCGTGGACCCTGGCGCCCGGCGGAGGCAAGCGCAGGCTCTCTCTGGAGAGAAGCGTCTCCCAAAATGACCTCACAACCAAAATGTACCAACTGCAGAAGGAAACAGGCCACTGTGACTGGGAGTCATTGGGCAAGGAACAAGCGCCCTCGCCCGGCCTTTGTCTGGGGCCACCACCCCCAGCCAGGCTCCCTGCGGCCGCACCCTGTCCTCTCCAGCCTCCGTGTGCCCCCTGGCTTCCCAGGAATTTCCTGTAACTTAATTCTCCCATCCCCTTATACCTACAGAATAAAGTCCAAACTCCTTAGCCTGGCACACGCGCCCTTCACAGTGGAATCCCAATGTCCTTTTCTAGAGTCTTCTCTTCCCACCCCACACTCCTCACCCAACCAAACTTTGTCTGTCCTTTGCTGGACACACAGCATCCTTGAAGGTGTCATTTACTTTCGCACCTCCATGCCTTTGTACGTGCTGTTCCCTCTTTCTGGGGTGTCCTTCCCCACCTTCTCCCAATGGCAAGCTCCTCGTCTCTTTCCAATGGCAACACAAAGGGCACCTGCTCTGTGAAACGCCTCAGAGTCCCCTGAGTTAGTCACCGCTGCCTTTGAATTCATTTTATAATATCCCAGATGGCCGCCGAAGGCAGGAGCTTATGTTAGTAAATTCTTCAGCACCTGACTCACTGTGGTTTCTCAGGACATTTTTATTGATGCAATTAAGATTAAACAAGGAGCTTCAGAATCAGACACACCTAAGTTCAACTCCTGTCTCTGCCACTTCCTAGCTTTATGACCTAAGGAAGCCGCCTACCTTTTCAGTACCTGGGACTGTGAAATGGAAATAATAAATCCTACCGACTAGGACAGAACCCCTCACCCAGCCCACTCCCGTGATGGCCACCGCTGATCCGTCACTGCACTCTTCCCACTGCGTCCAGAAAGGCGCTGGAACCTTTGGTGTGGGCTCAGGGTGTCCCTGTCACATTAGTATGGCTGACATACAGCATCAAACCTACTTCTCATTTTGGTCATGAAGTAAACAATACCCCGCAGATAAAGCATTCACACGTAGGACAGTATTTGTCCCAAGCAGACCCTCAGTGAATGGCACTTGCTATCATTTTATTTCCTCAAGTCTAAGATTGTTAGATGCACTACTGATTTCCCATGCTTTGGGAGGGGTGGAGAAGTATTACTATATTTGATATACAGATCACTTGTAAGGTACACTCGGATTTCAGAGATTAAAATGTGGAAAACGTGAGTCCTAGAACTGAGAAAATCCAGTGAGATTGTTGAGTTAATGAACTTCAAGTAGAGATGCTGGGGACCCCAGAGGCCCCTCTGACCTGGGTGTGCCCGCCCCGCTGGCCCTGGGCACTCGGACACGGGCAGAGAGCAACAGGGCGCAGTGACCCTCAGGACCCCGGCCGCAGCCCATCGGGTCTGAACGCCGCCCGGGCCGTAGCCAAGGCTCCAGGAGAGAACGCGCTGTGTCCGGCCTCCCCGCCGTAATCAGCCCCCTGCTTCTTCATTTCTCCACTTTCTTTATTGTGGTGAAATACATGTAACATAAAATTTACCTCGTGGACCATTTTAAGTGTACGATTCAGTGGTCGTATCAATTACATTCACTGTGTTAGGCGACTATCACCACTGTCTGGTTCCAAAACATTTTCATCACCCCAAACAGAAACAAAATGTCCCGTTTCCAAAAATGCCCCATTAAACAAAAATGCCCCATTTCCCCTCCTCCCAGCACCTGGCGGCTGCCATTTTCCTCTCTGCAGCTATGACCTGGACTATGCTGGGCACCTCGTATCGGTGGGCTCATGCAACATCTGTCCTTTTATGTCTGGGATAGTTCACTTTGTGTGCCGTCAAGGTTCATCCACGTGGTAGCATGTGTCAGAACTTCCTTTTTATGGCGAATAATATCCCACTGTAGGTACATGCCACATTTTATTTATTCATTCAACTGTTGATAGCCTCTTGGGTTGTTTTTGCTTTTTGGTAGTTGTGGGAATTACGCTATGAACATCGATGTCAAAGTGTCTGAGTCCCTGCTTTCTGTGCTCTTGGGCATATACTTAGGAATGGAATTGCTGAATCATATGGTAATTCTACGTTTAGCTTTTTGAGGAATCAAGGACACTGCTTATTAAGAACAGCTCATGCAGGTAGATTGCTCCGCAACCAACCAATGGTCCCTACCGCTTTGGTTATTGCTTGTGAAGAATTGCTCTCAAATTCCATGGGTGCGACTGATGAAACCCCAAATGTGTAAGAGTCTGCGATGGGGAGCACATGAAGGTCACACACTAAATTTTGAATTGTTTCAGGGTAAAAGCAACAAGTTCTGAGAGTCTCAGGAGGTAAGGTCTTTCTCTGAACCCCGATTCTGTCTAAATCCAAAGAGGCCCCAAGAAGGGGTCAGAGTTACTTACAGGTGAGACAGGGAGGTCACGTCTGTGAAGATGCCCTCCGGGAGGGTGGAGATGTCATTGCCGTGCAGGGACCTGAGGAGGAAGAGGCTGCTGGTGAAACGGATGGAGGGTGGGCGGGGCCCCCTGAGGAGAAGGGCCTGCGCTGTGAGGGAGGCAACCCCCACCTCAGAGATGCACCTGCCCTGCTGGCCACGGGCCGGGAGAGGGAGCCCCTGACCATGCCAGTAGACCTTTCTGCCCCTCAGCCCTCCTGGGACTCTGTTTTTTCCGTCATCAATAACTCAAGCGCCGTTTCTGTTTACTGACAAATGAGATGCGTGCAATCAGGAACCTGAGGCACAGGCTTCTCTTGGTAAGGAAGTTAATACACAAGCCATAAATTAGGGGTGAACAATGTCACCTGGCCCTAGATGGGCTGTCAGAGGACTCGGGTTCATAGATACACCACGGGCCATCCTAACAGGCATGGCAGGGGGCTTTGATCACAGGACAACAACCGCATGGTGGGAATTCTTAGGAAAAGTTCAAGAATCTTGCAACATACTCCATCTGAACAGGAGGCTCACATGCAAACTAGGGGTTACCTTCTCCTGGATGGCCTCCACACACACACACCACAAACACAACGTGGGGCAGAGAGCAACCGCCATTTCTCAGCTGGTTTCCCAGTCATTCCCTGGACTCTGTTAGGACTGACATGGGAGCGGACTGGCCTCCCACCTCCGGACACAGTTGGCCCTGTGGGGGCCTCAGATGCGGGGACGTTTCTGCCCACCGGGTGGGCAGCAGGGCCCTCAGCGGGGCAGATTCCCCTGGAGGAATGGGGAGTGGGAGACTTACAGCAGGCGCAGGGAGCGCAGCCCCTGGAAGGCCAGTGGAGGGATGCACTGGAGGGAGTTGTAGCTGAGGATCCTGCAGGAAGGAAGGAGGCACGCAAGCAGATGGGTGTTTGCCTGGGGCTGCAGGGCTGGGCGAAGCGGGAGGATTATCAAGGGTCACAGGGAAACTTGCGAGGGTACCCGACACTATCTTGGTTGTGGGGGTGGTTCCATGGGTGTGAGCATAAGTCACAATGTACCAGGTTGTACATGTTAAGTACGTGAAGTTTACTGTATATTAATCGTACCTCAATAAAGCTAGTTTAGAAATAATAACAAGAGAAAGGAGCCACTCCTGTCCATCACAGGAGACGGCAGCCAGGCCACAGGCTGGGATCTCTTGGCCTCCACACTGTTGACAATTCTTTGTTTGGGGCTGTCCTGTGCACTGTAGGGTATTTAGCAGCATCCCTGGCCTCTACCCATGAGATGCCAGTAGCTCCCCCTGCCCACCTCCCCCTGTGACAACTGAAAATGTTCCAGACATTGCCAAATGCCCCCAGGAGGGCAGACACGCCCCTGGTTGAGAACCACGACCCTAGACCATGGCAGCTTCACACACAGGCTCATGAAGACTTAGAAAAGGGAGCACGTTGACTAGTAAGCGGAGGTTGGGGCGGAGCAGTGCGGGTGGGTGGAACCTCACTTCAATGCCTCGGGCCCACACTCTGCTCCTGGGCCCTGGCAAGTTCAAGACCCTGTCCTGCCTCTACAGTTTGACTGCAGAAGAATGTAAAGAAAAGTTCAGAAGTTTTTGGCATATTATATGTAAAATGAGGCGTTAGGAAGGTGAATGAGATACAGTCTTAAGCTCCAGGCAAAAATAAGGGATACTTGTTAATGCTTTCTTGGAATATAATTAAAGCAATCATTAAATTATGGGCACAAAAATGTCCAGAGGGTCACTGTTCACAATGGAGCAAACTGGAAACAACCCAAATATCCATCAACAGTAGAATAGATGAGGAAAGTATGGTATATTCTACAAGGAATACTATACAGCACTGAAAAGGAACAGATCACCGCTCCACAGAACACAAGTGGATCTCACAAACATCATGGTAAATGAAAGTATATATTCCATATAATGCAATTTATATAAAGTTAAAATGTGGGCAAAATTATACTTCATTGTATAGAAGTGAACTTGTAGATGGCAGCACTATAAAGACCAAAGGTCATCACAAAAGCCAGGGCCTGGGCTGCCTTGAGTGGAGAAGGGAGGAATAATAATCAGGAAGGGACAGGGCGACTTATGGGGTACTGCCTGTGTTCTAATTTTTTGCCTCACATATTGACACATGCGTGCTAGCTTTATGATTATTTGTTAAGCTTCACGTCTGTAATTGTTGCACTTTTCTGTATATGTGCTGTATTTCACCTTAAGAAATATTTTTTAAAAGTGTTTTTGGCTGGCAGGCCCTGGCACAGTCCCTGGCAGATGAGAGAATCTGCATGTGATACCTGCGAGCGACCAGGCCTTGGGGAATCTCATTAGACATAGTGCGGGCCCCCCCTACTCCCTACCCCCCACCCCCGCCCCACGGGACTCACAGAGTGGTCAGCTGGCTCATGTTGGTGAAGGAGGAGTTGCTTAAGGAACTGATCTTGTTGTTACTTAGGTCCCTGGAAAAGACAAAGCCCCCCCCCCGACAGACGGTTTCATAGCAGGAGGTGGCCCAACATTAGTCCTCTTTCCTCCCTTTCCTTCTCAAGTGCGCCAGGTCTTATTGGAGCTGTTCCACATTAGACCAAAGAAAGATTGTCTCTCTCTTTGGTACTGTCACCAGCCACCAAATCATTGCACACACCCCCACTCCCACCCCACATTTGCTATATTATTAGCAAAGACAGATAAAGTGGAGCTTCACAATTCTGGAAGCCAGTGATACTCAAAGTAGCCAGTCCTTGAACTGAACATCCCATACAACAAGGACCTTGTGCCAAAATGTAATCACCTATAATACTAAACACAACTTACTGTGGCTAACTTTTTTTCATAGCCAAGACTTCCTTAAGGAAGAAAGCAATATGTGGATTTAGGTCCTGGTTCAAGTTCCTTATCTAACTGCAGACCTATCACAACCAGTTCTCAGGCTGCCATTGGTCCACAGAACATGCTTCGAGCAGCACTGGACAAGTCACACTCTGGACTTCTTTTTTGGTCCAGACCAATGAGCAGATAGAGACAATTGAAGTGGGGTGTTAATTAGGCTGGAAGGCTAAGAGGAGCTAACATATTCTGAGGCTTATTTTTTGTTTTACCATGAGGTGGAAATAACAGAAAAGCAGATATTAGTCTAAAGAAAAACTTTGTTACAGATACTTATTTGTAGCTGCCATATTTCATATTTGATTTGGGGGCTATGGTTGGACTGAGAAATTTCCCATCACCCTCTACTTCTGACCTGGCTCCTACCTTTGCAAGGCTGACCTGCATTAACAATAATTATCAGCCTTTCCTGGCTGGTGTGGCTCAGTGGATTGAGTGCCGGCCTGTGAACCAAAAGGTCGGCAGTTCAATTCCCCGTCAGCACATGTGCCTGGGTTGCAGGCCAGGTCCCCAATAGGGGGCACATGAGAGGCAACCAATCGATGTATCTCTCACACATTGATGTTTCTCTTCCTTTCTTTCTCCCTCCCTTCCCCCTCTTTAAAAATAGATAAATAAAATCTTTAAACAACAACAACAATAACGATCAGCCCAGAGGGAGGCTTGGGGAGACGCTGCGGGCAGAAGTAGACAGGATCCAACCCAAGGGGGCCGAACAATGCAACTTCTAAGCATGGCCACTAGGTGGCAAAGCAGTTCTATGCACAGATGTTCCAGAGGGAAGAGGAGAAAATTAAACAAAAACAAACAGCAACAAAAAGGAATCAGCCACAAGTGGAGTCTGTAGGGAATCCCAGGAAAGCTGGAGCCACAAGAGTCATATGCCAACGGCCCTCTTGTCCTCTGCGGCAGGTCTGGGACTCTCAGGCCACCTGGGTACTCACACAAGCTGCAGGAACTTGTAGGTGGACAGCTGCCCTGGAACCAGCGTGAACTGATTCCCGTCCAAGTAGCTACAGGAGAAAACACAACACTTAGTGCCCCATCCCCGCCTCTGCCCCAAGCTGGGGGAACCTTTCCCTGCCACAGGGCGCTTGTCGCTCATTTCTTCTCCTACCTGTAGACCACCCAACAGCCCAGAACTGCTAACTGGGGAAGAAAATACATATATTTCTTAGGTTGTTTGGGTAGGCACCACCCCAAAAATTTGGTAAGAGCCACTGAGACACTAAGCTCCCTTGGCTGCCCTCCTGCCCGCTGTCTCAGCCTCTCCGCCCTGTCTGCGGGCACTACCGCGGCTCAAGCCTGCGCCCCGTCCTTCCCTCTCGCTATGCAGTTTTCCTGGCCAAATAGATCTGATCTGCATGAGGACGCCTCTCGGGCCCACCTGCCAGCTCCCCTAACCTCCCACCTGCTACCGAGGCCCCTTCTCTGCCTGCTGGCAAGTGTGTGAGGCCAGTCTTGTGGGACCACGGGAGCCCCACACCAAAACTTGTCCACACCCGAGCTCTGTGTTTTCACACCTAACGGGCTGCCCTGGCTCCCTCAGCACCGCGCTCCCTGTGCCTAGCCTTTAGGCTCTTGGACCCGACGGCGACTCTCCGGCGCCCCCTGCAGCCAGTCCCGTGACCAGTGGCTTCTCCTACCCATTGGTCTCTCATCATTTGCTTTTCCAATTAGAGGTGACACTTAGTATCATTTTACATTTGTTTCAGGTGTATAGCATGCTGATTAGACAATTATATACTTTACAAAGTGATCCCCCAATAATTCCAGTACCCATCTGGCACCATACGCGCCATACACAGTTACTACACTATTCTTGACTATTCGTCATCTACTTTCGTTCTGTTCTCACATCACCCCTGAGTGCACACCACGTGTCACCCATGTGACACGTGCAGCCGCCCTCTGTCCTCCCAACCTTGGTCACCCTTCTGGGACCCACTCTTTACCCTGCCACCCAAGTCACAGTCCTTAAGGCCAAGCCCATCAAAAATGCTCCCCAAACGTCCTCAGGTTCCCCATGCCTGCAGGGTAGAGCTTGGGATTCAAGAAGCTGTGAACCTGCCCACTTCGCCCACCGCCGCCTGCCATCCTCGCTAAGCAGCGGCCCAAGGGCCAGGGCTGAAGCCCCAGCTGGGCTCCCGCACAGCGCCCTCACCAGCTGCAGCCTTCAGGATGCCCCCCTCACGCACAGACCCAGGGAGCAGCAAACCAGGGCTGCCCTGGCCCTGGCCCATCACTCTGTTGTCATTCAAAGCGACTTCTCCCCCATCTCTTTTGATTGTCCCAGCAGCCCTTCAGGGCACCCCTGTAGCCTCACTTTACAGCTGAGGAACCTGAGACTTGGACAAGTCAGATGGCTTTCCCAGCATCCCAGTCAAAGAAGGCAGGCTGTCGTGCCTGTCTCATTGTTCTCAGGGTTGCTGTGAGGCACCAAGGAGAAAACAGGGACTCTAACACTGTGACAGAAAATGGGACAGGTGAGTCACTGGACAGGGACTGCGGGGTTGATGTGCTTGGGAAGAAACAGCCAGCCTTGCCGGCAATGAAATAAAATGAGAACTTCATCCACTGCCCACAGGGAAAAGCAAAGCTTGGCTCTGGAGGCTGGAGGGACCAATCCCAGGGGACAGGCAGAGTTGGGGACTGACCAAAGCCTTTGCCTTGGAAGGGCCTGTTGAAGGAGCCCCGCTTTCTGTCCCTATGTCTGTCATTTACATCCACACCCCACACGAGTTCAAAACCAAACCCTCATCGACAAAGCGTTTAGACCACAGCACCCAGGGCTGATAGGAGGGCAGGCAGGCCATCGCCACATACAGCTAGTTGGAGGACAAAGGAAAGAACTTTGCTGAAAGGCCGTCAGGCACAAGGCAGCAAGGGTCCTAACAAGGCACCGCTTCTTGACTAGCAGTTTCAATGAAGGGATGTTCACCTCCGTGCTATTTATGACAGTAAAAACTGGAAACAACTTAAATATCCAACAACGGGCAATGTGTTACATAGTTCATAGGAGATTCATGTGATGGAATATTATGCAGCCAGTAAAAGTAACTTTTGTGAGACTTTTCATTGCAGAGCGGAATGCTCATGAGATGATTGAAGCAAAAAAAAAAAGGCAATATTATTGCCTATTTTAAAGGCAGAGCTTAATTTAAAGAGACGAAGCATTCACCATGGGTGACTTATGCCATCCGGCAGCGGCAGAGGGGGATCACAGCGGAGCACAGAGACTCCTTGGACCAGTGTCTCCTGCAAAGCCCTAACACTCAGCTGCTGGTGAGCTAAAGTCAGCTCTGGCTACCTCCTCCTTCTGACACCAGGCCCGGGCTACTCACAGTTCTGTGACGTTCTTGGGGAGGCCCTTGGGCAGGGCCTGCAGGTGTTTGTTGCTGCATCGGACCACCGTGTCCAGGCAGGCACACTCCTGGGGGCACTGGGGGCGGGGCAGGCAGCCCCCCTCCTCCTGGCCTGGTGAGGAAGGCATGAAGCGACAGGCCTTCTCAGGGCCTCCTGTAGCCAGAAGCCCCTCTTCGACCACCCCCCATCAGGCTCCCATAAGTGTCCTCTTGGTTGTACCCCTCCCCCACCAGGGACAAAGCCCCTTGGACCTGTTTTGAGGTTAAAATAGGTCTTGGATTGATCTCTTCCACCTGAGACCCAAGATGGGCACCGCAGAAGACAGCAGCTGCACCTTCGCTTGAGCACCTACTATTGCTGGACACTCTATCAAACAGTCTCCTTAACAGTGAGTGCCGTGAGGGTGCCACTCCCACCCCTAGAATGAGGACAGAGACGTGTCTCTTTGTTCACTGAAGAAGTCTGGTGTCCAGAGCAGGGCCTGGTACACAGTCGCCCTCAAAACAGATCAGCTAAATGAATGAATCTCTATTTTACTGAGATCTGAGAGGTTCAGTGACTTGCTCAGGTCAGAAGACAGGTTAGAAGCAATATGGGGTCTGTCCCCACTGCATATTTGGGACAGCATGAAGTCTGCAGCACTGAGAGACAGCCAGGAAGCAGATCTTTGGGTTACACGTACTTACAGAAAGAAAATCCACTAAAATGTGAACTGCGATTTTTTCTCAGTGACAATCATCGGTAATGTTTATTTTCTTTTTTTACCCATATTTTCCCATTTTTAAACACTAAGCCCATTATTGCTCTCATGGTGACACAAAAGCACCCCCAGGCAGGGGTAGGTGCAGGACTAAGAGCTGGTGTCCCTGCCCCTCCCCCGCCACCCTTCCTCTCAAGGGCAAGTGCCGGGTGCTGGCCGCCCACCCCCTGCCCGCTGGCCTGGCCCAGCTCACCCTCCCTCCTGCCACCCAGGGGCCTACGAGTTACCTTCCTCACACCGGAAGTCAGGGAAGGCCACGTCCTGCAGGGGGATCTGCCGCAGGAAGTCGGGGTTCTGGCACCGCGGGTTCCCCGTCACGATCTTCCTCTTCCGCAGCCAGTCGCCCAGCCAGGCCAGCTGGCAGTTGCAGTTGAAAGGATTGGCCAGAAGGTTTCTGGAAGAGGAGATCTGTGTGACACGAAGACACCTTGCCGGTCCCAGCTGTCCCATCAAAGCCCTCTCCTGCCTGCGCGTGCCGTCCACGCCGCCACCCACACTACCCAGACAACCAGCCACCCATTCCAACGTGGCGGGACCCCTGTTTCAACAAACCGTGGGGACCCAAACATCCCCAGAGTTTGTCCTTTAAAGAAACCAACAGGAAGACCACGCACGGTCTTGGGATGGCAGGTGGGGGTGTTGCAGAGGTACAGAGGTCGACCCAGAGCCCAGGCTTTGCGGTGGCTGGACTCACAGCGTGGACAGGGCCTGCAAGGTGTCGAAGGCTCCTGGGGAGATGGTGGCGATCTGGTTGTCGTACAGCGAGAGGAGGCGGACATTGCGCAGGCCCGTGAAGCTGTCGTTGTGGATACAGCTGATACGATTGTTCCTCAGCATCCTGGGGGTGGGGGACGGGGAAGGGAAAGCCCACGCTGCGCCCTGTGGCCATCCGCCTGAGAGGCGCTTTGGCCACCACCAGCCAGTTCACAGACTTTCCTCGGGAGGCACTGAGCCACACGCAGCACCTGAATCCTTCACCCGGCGCTCCCCTCAAGGCCTCCCTGCCTCTGAGATGCCCTCCTTGGCCTCCTGCCCACAGGGCTCCCCGCACTGGCCACCACCTTCGCTCCCTGGATGCCCAGTGCCTCCCCGCACTCGGGGCCAGGCTCCCAGTCAACACCAGAGTGTTGCCTAAAACCTAACCCCAGCAGTCAGCCTGAAGTCCACAATGGCCTCCAAACTGCCCCCAGAATCATGTTTAAACTCTTTACTGTGACCTTCTGGAGCCTGTCCACCCAGCCCCAGACCAGCACCTGCCCTCCCCCTGGAGAGCAACACACCCCGGACACCCCGCCCTGCGGACATGCCTCCCAGGCCGGCACCACCACGCCCCCTCCCCACCACCATTTCCTCCCCGCATGACCTTTCTCATTTACATCTGCAAAAGTCTCTGTTCACCTCAAAAACCTGGCTCAATTCCCCTCCCCAACCAAAACCAAAACCAGACCTGACACAGAATAGGCAATTCACAAAAGAAATTAAAATGGTTTATGAGCAGTCATAAAAAATGTTCAACTTACTAGTAATTCAAGACATTTGGGCAATATTATATCTTTACCTGCCAAACTACAAAATAATTTAAAACATAGTAATAGTAATACTAATGCTAGTAGTAATAGTAATAGTAATAGTAATAGTAACGCCACCCAGGGTCAGCAAGGGTGGGGGCGAATGGGCACGTCACACCCTGTTGGCCGGGCCGTGCCTGGGGACCTCCCCGGAAGGGCATCGGTGAGATGCACCACGTCCCTAAGAAGGTGCTTTATGCGTCCCCTAGCAAGTCTGCTTTTAGGAATCCATCACAAGGTAGTAGTCTAGGATGGCACAGATTTGCATGATAAATACATTAATCACATTGTTCATAATTTAAAAATTAGAAATAGTCTAAATGTCCAGTGATACATAGTCATTGGAAATGATGTTGTAAAAGAAATTTTAATCATTTGTAAAGGTGCTTGCATTGTGTTTCAGGAGAAAGCAGGTTGCAAAATAAAACGTATCATAGGATCCGTTTTTAAAAATCTGAACGTCTGCACGTGTAGGTACGCGCAGGCAGGCGTGCACACACATACACTGTTCCTGCCTAGAGGAGGGGTTACGGGCATTTCCTTCCCCGCGCCGGCACCGCCACTCCTGCGGGCTCTGTCCCAGCACCAGTCCTCCCCGTCCTCTGTGCTCATCCAAGTCTTCCTCGGAAAGAACCCAAGAGGCTGCTTGAATAGCCCATGGCACACACATTCCGGAAAGACAAGGCAAGGATAAACAAGAACAAAGCAGCCCTGTGTGAACAGCCTGGCAAAGTGGTCACACTATGTTCACAAGGGAAGAAGCAAGCCGCAACACACAGCAAACGATAAAATCCCCTTTCTGTAAAATGAACAAAAATCCCCAGAGAGTCCCTGCACACATTCATGCACCTTACACCAACTCCCAGATGGGCGCTCCGCAAACCAACCCAGAGCCCTGCTGCAGGGCTGGGCCCGACGGCCAGGCAGGGCTTCCGGAGCCGTGTTGCCCGACACAGACGCTACCAGCCACTTGCAGGCGTTTAGATTTAAAGTAACAAAAATGAAATGAAAATTCAAAATTTAGTGCCTCAGCAGCACTAGCCAGGCATCAAGCACTCTCCATAGCCACATGTGGCCGTCAGTTTGGACAGCACAGATGTGGGACATTCCCGTCACCGTGGGAAGTCTGACTGGTCGTTGGACGCCCTCAAGGTCAGCCGGACCCCCGAGGAGCCCGTGCTGTCCGGCCACCGGCGTGGCTCACTGCACCGTTCAAGGAGGGGTAGGTGACCCCAGGACCCCACTGGGTCCTGATGTCTGCTTAGCTCTGGCTGGGCTCTGGGTCATGGGACCCAGAATCCCAGAAGTGGCCGGCCGCTGCTGCCCCCCTGCACCTACACCCATGTGCATCGCCTCTGCAGGGTCCCCACCCTGGGGCCCCCTGCCCCTCCTGGCTGCCGTGGTGCCAGCCGCTCCTGAACTGAACAGCGAGAGGGCACCTCCAGACGGGCCTGCCTCCCTCCACCCCTTCTCCGCGCATTGACCCCACACCCCAGAGAACAAGGAAACAGGCCTCCCCCCGAGTTGCCAGCATCGGATTCCATCGCCCACAGCAGTCAGGAGCCTCAGCTGTCCCCTTCCCCGGAAAGCTGGGCCCAGGGAGAGCGGGCCTCCGCCCCACCCCCTCTTCCTGTCCCTTTCATGCAGGTGCCCACACCTGCCATCCCTGCTGTGCCCCGGCCCCCACACTCACAGCGTCCGCAAGCCGTCCAGGCCACGGAACATGCCGCTGCGGATGGACTCCAGCTGGTTGGCCGTCAGGTGCAGCTCGCTCACCGAGGCAGCGCCCTCGAAGGCCCCGTCCTCGATTTCTGACACCTTGTTGTTGCTCAGGTTGCTGGGAGAAGAGGTGGTGGGAAAATGATGGAGCTCAGGACATCCCCTTCCTGCCCCCAACGCCCATGCTCGGGAGCCCTGCCCACCCCCTGCCCTTGGAAGCCCCCCCACACCCAGAATCTTCCTTCTCCCACCTGGGCCAGCGTCCTGACTGCACCCTTCCCGCTAATGGGTAACTCACATTTTCTTCAGATGGGTGAGTTTTTTAAACATGCCAGTGGCCTCCAGGATGGAAATCTCATTGTTGTTTAATCGTCTGTAAGAGGCAATCAAGGGAACTTACACATCCGTAAGTGACAGACATTGAAGTATCTTCCAAACTGGGAATACTTGAGTTTCAAACAAAGGGGACTCCCAGAAGAATTTACGTGGCAAGGCAGATTGACCCTATTTCAAAGGCAGTCTAGGCTGAGTGCTGGAGCTGGGGGGAGGAGCAGCTATGAATGGGGATATTTTTAACATTAAAAATGCTATGGAAATTTACATGCATAAATGATGTGTGTGTAGGTATCCACACCAATTTATATTTTTAGATAGAGAAAAGAAATAGTTAAGAGGTAACTTAGCCCTGGCTGGTGTGGCTCAGTGGAGTGAGCACCAGCCTCTGAACAAGAAGGTCGCTGGTTCAGTTCCATGGCAGGGCACATGCCTGGGTTGCAGGCCACTTCCCCAGCTAGGGGTGTGCAAGAGGCAACCAATTAATGTATTACTCACACACTGATGTTTCTCTCCCTCTCTTTCTCCCTTCCCCTGTCTCTAAAAATAAATAAATAAAATCTCGGAAAAAAAAAAAAAGATAGCTTAAGCCCCAACTTGAGCGAATGAAATCTGTCCCCCCAAGATGGAAAAAACATGATGGAGAAAAGGCACCCCTTTTCAGGCTGGCAACCTGCCCTGGATGCCAGATTCTGCTTCAAGAGTCAGTGTGGCTGTGAGTCAGAAGCAAAGGGGCCACAGGGGGCTGCTTCCTGCAAAGCCAGCAGCTGCCACACAGGTATCTCCAGAGGTCCCCCAAGGAGCCTGACCAGAAGAAAACCTTGAGCGGGCCCAGGGAGGGGAGCTGGAGCAGAGGCAAGGGAGGGGTGTGGAGGGGCTGGGGCCTCACAGGTCGGCCGTGGACTGGGGGATGCGCTCGGGGATCTTGGTGAGCTTCAGGCTGGAGCACTCCACCATGCTGGCCTCGCAGCGGCACTTGTGGGGACAGACCACGTCGCTGTTGCACTCGCTGTTCAGCTGGTAATCCTCCGTGCCTGCTCCGATGGCAGAGGCCGGGGCTGAGGGGCTGGGGCAGGCTCCAAGCAGGCTTGCCCGCCCAGGGTCCCGCAGGGGGCCCTCAACCTACTGCCCCAGCCCCCTACCACCCACTGCCACCATCCCACCCAGACTGCCCTTGGTTCCCCTCCTCTCCTCCTACCTGGAATGAAGTACTGCTCTTTGGCTGCAAAGGGAAGTAGACAAACAGCATGATGCTGGTGGGATCGTCCAGGCCTTGCAAGAAGAGCCCAGACCCCAGCTCCGCTGCCCGGCTGAAGGCACCCCAGGAACAAGGCTGGGGTCCCAGATCAGGGCCCCAGAGCCCATCGGCCCAGCCCCTGTGCAGAGAAGGCCTTCTAGGGAACATGGCTGTTCCTGGCCCAGGCCAGTGCTGGGGACAGCACCACACCCAATCAAACCGCTCAGGGAGTTTTCAAGCCACAGGAACTCTCACGTGCACCGGCACAAGATGCAGATGGCGCAGGGAGGCATCAGGCCTCCGACAGGATCCAGGCTCAGAGGCTGACCCGCACCATCGCCAGCCACATGCTGTTTCTCCTGCCTCCGAGCCTGGAGGAGGCAACTATCTCACTGAGGAGGGGTCCCAGGCCTCCCAGGTGTCTTAAAAGGGCTGAAAGCAGCAGCACCATAGAGAACTGGCCTGGGAGCGGAGGTCCTGGGTCCTCCCACGGGACCTTCAGCAAGCCCCTCCCTTCCCCAGGCCTCCGTAAAAGGAAGGGTGGACCCGGACATCACTCAGGTCCAAGTCCACAGTTTGGGGCTGGCACCCCGGGGACATCTGTGCTGGGGCCATCCAGGGAACACCACTGTCCCTGAGCAGACTGCAGGCAGACAGGTGGGCAGGCAGCTACCTGAGCACCGGAACTTCTTGCTCTTGATCTGCCCGATGCGCTTGTTGGCGAGGCGCCCGGGACTGGCGCAGCGGGCTCCGCTCGTCTCAATGGGGTTGGTGCGCAGGAAGTCCGCCAGCCACTTGAGGTTACAGTCGCAGATGAAAGGGTTCTGGGCCAGATGCCTGTCCAAAAGGGGCAGGTCAGGGCTGTGTCTGCGCGGACCTCCACCTGGATGAGGCTCGCTGCTGGATGAGGCTCTCAGCTGGAAGCCTGGGGCTGGCCCTGGGGAGCCTACACCACCCTTGGCACCGCCCGGGTGCACCCCCTGTCCTTGCAGGTCACCACAGCACCACAGGGAGGAGGACCTCCGCAGGCTCTGGAGCTTCCAGCTGTCCCTGCCACACTCCCCCTTCAAGCCTCCCTGCCCCCTCCCTCTGCCCTGAGGCAGTTCACAAACACGAATGGAAGTGGGGAGGGCCTGGATATGGGCCTGGGCAGCCTGCCCGCCCACAGGTGAGGGGACAGAACAGGCACTAGAACCAGGCTGCCTCTTTCTGGACACTTTACAGGCCGTCTCTTGACACAAAAAGGAAACTCAGAAAGCACCACAGAACAGACACATACTGGGGGAGCTCTCCTCTTCTCCTGCCGGGCCACCTGTGTCACCAGCAGGGTCAGTGGGGGGTGCAGCTGAGAGGGGATGCTGACTGGGGGAGCCTGGCTGCGGAGAGCCACCGCACGGCTGCCTTGGCCCTTCGCGCTGACCGCCCCGGCACGCTCAGAGCAGTCACACCTGAGTCACCCCGGCAGCCAGCTGGACCCCCTGTGTCTGGGCCACTACAGCACTGGGTGTGCCCTGCTGCCCAAGCCGAGACAGCCAGGGCAGAGGACTCCAGTGCCTGTCCTTACGGCCATCCCTGAGAGCCAATGCCTCTACGTGAAAATACCAGGAGACAGGGCGGGGCCCGCTCAGAGGACTCCCTGTGCCGTGGCCACATTTTCTCCATCAACTGCTGTCCATTTGGGCGACATATTGGCATCAGCCACATCCCATGCTGGCGCTGCAGAGCTCTCAAAGCAGAGGCCCTGCCCTGCACAGCACCTGCGCCAGCTTAGCTCAGACCTTGGCCGCCCTCTCCTTGGGATATGCCCCATGGCCCCTGGTCAGAGCCGTGCCTGCGCAGCTGTCCCTGCCTCTCCCCTTTGCAGAGGCCCTGCTTTCCTGCCTGAGTTCTGGCCCCTTCCCCGCTCCCTGAGGTGTGCCAGGCCCCTCCCACCCCCTCTGCATCCAGTTCAATGTTAATTTCCTGACTGAAACGGTCAGTTTGCACAGAGAAAACGCGTTTGCTGAGTCCCTGTGGCAGAGTCGGTAGCTTATTTAAAATGCACTGGGATTCGGAGACTGTTCCAGGATCCTCCGGCCACCCGCCCACCTCTATCTGTGCCTTTGTGCCTGGCTTTCGCCTGAACAGATTGCGGCCCTTTATCACACTCTGGATGGAAAGTTTTGTTTAAAGTCAGCTCGATTATGTTGCTTAGGCATGTTGAAGGGGTACAGAGTAGTTTATATCCTTTTTAAGAACAGGCTATTTGTGTTAAAACCAGCTGTAACATTTGAACCACCCACAGGGGCAAGTGACCTCTGTACAAACTTAAGTATTTGACACAAATTCAAATTTTAAACAAACTTCTAAACAAAATCTCAATTTTGCAAAGGGCATGAAGCTGGGGAGGAAAAATGCTCAGGAGGAAGAAAAACTATCCATTCGGGAAAAGTGAAACATAATAAAGGCACACCCGGAAGTGTGGGGCGCCGTGCAGGCGTGCGGCTATTTCCGTGAACACTTTGACAATGGAAGGCAGACGGAAAGACTGATTCTCAGTGCCTTTCTTGAAATACGCATTAAGAATTTACAACTAAAAATCTCTGGGGCCAGAGGCCCAACCTCATTCCTCAAATTGAACCCACAATGAGATACCACCTCATATCCACTAGGATGGCTATGATCAAAAAGACAAAAATGTGTGAGCAAAGATGCAGAGAAACTGCACCCTCCTAATACCTTGCTGGCGGGAATGTAAACTGGTGCAGCCTCTTTGGCCTACAGCAGCAGTTTGTTAAAGTGTTAAAATTCCCCATGTGACCTAGAAATTCCAAGAGAAATGAAAACGTGTCCGCACAAAGATTTGTACATGAATATTCATGACAGCATTATTCATAATGGATATTCAAATACCCATCAACTAGAATGGATAAACAAAATGTGGCTCACCCATACAATGGAGAATTATGTGGCAATAAAGAGAAACAAAGTAATGATACATATTGCAATATGGATGAACCTGAAAAACATTACATCAAGCAAAAGAATCAGTCACAAAATGTGATATATTGTATGATACCCTTTGTGTGAAATGTCCAAAAAAGGCAAATTTATGGAGACAGAAATTAGATTAATGGTTGCCTGGGGGTGGGCTGGAAATAGGGACAGGCTGTTGACGGGCGGGCGCAAGGGATTTGGGGGCTGAGGAAAGTGTTCTACAACTGGAATAGTGAGGACAGTTGAACCATTGCAAATTGAGTAAAAATCATTGAGCTGTACACGTAAAACAGGTGATTACCTAGTAATCAAGTTATACCTTATGAAAGCTGTTAAAAGAACTTTTTTAATCTCCTGAAGCAAGTAAAACTGCAGCCAAATCGACCCTGTGGCACAAGGCTCAGCCCCGGACTCAGGGCGGCGGGCAGGTCAGGCAAGGCCGGGTGCGCTTAAACTACGCAGGTCTGACCTCAGACTCAGTCTGGGGGGTTAGCCATCCGAGGCCGAAAACGGATATCTGACTCTGCCTTGGATTTGTGTTTCTTTTATCCTTGTTTCAATCTGTCCTGCAGTTGTGAATAGGCGACAGTTATTCATGAAAGTTCAGTTTTGTTTTACTGCCTTAAATAATGAGGTCTATTCTCACAATTGAGGGGGAAGGTAACTACTTTCTTAGTGATGCTGAAGAGAGGCCTGGGACCAAACCCCTGCTTTTGTTGGGATGTCACACAACATCCTTGCGTGACCTCAGGTAAGTCATGTAACCTACCCCCACCTCAGTTTCCTTATAGGTACAGCCAGGGGCGATAGCACCTACTTCCATGGGCCATTGAAAGCACTTAGTAAGGTAACACACACAGGGAACAGTGGTCTGGCACCAGCAAGAGCAGCGATTATTGTTACCAGCATTACTAACATTCATTATTACATATAATATAGGATATATTGTTATGTGGCATATAATGTATCTCGCCTACGGGAAGCTCTCTTCTTTTAACACTCTGCTCCAGCTTCGTGCCCTTCTGTCCTGGTGGCAGCGGCCAAGACCTCAGGCGCGGGGTCTGGAGGGCGGAGGTGCTCTCTGAGAGCCAGCCAGGGAAAAGGACACAGACGGAGGCCACCTACAGCGAGCGCATCTGTTTGATTGAGTCACTCTCCTCCTGCCCGAGCGGGACGCAGCTCCTCATGTGCCTGTCGGTGCCATTGCCCGCCCCAAGTTTCCTGTGGGGGGGGTTGCCCAGCCTTGAAACCCCCTTAGTGTGTTTCTCTCAAACACTCTGCCCGCTGCGTAAAGTAGTCCGCTTTGCCGCGTCGGCCTGTAACCTCTGATTTCACGTACTTGGCAAGATTTCCCCCTGGCGCGCCACCTTCCTCTCTCTGGCTGTAGGGAGGTTAATTAGCAGGAGTGGGCTGCAGGCGGGTCCGGGGGCTTTAATGAGTTTGTCTTCGCGGCCGACACCCCGGCTGACGTGCAGCGTCCCCAAGGAGCAGGAGCCGCACCTACCCCAGCACTCCGGGCAGAGAGCACCCGAGGGAAAGCGCTGCCGGTGCAGGACCACTGCGGCAGGGGCGGCAAGGGCAACAATGGCTTTGACAATATTAATAATAAATGCCCGTTAAGCACACACCATTGGACCCACAGGTCAACACATCAAGTCAAACTACAGGGCCCAGAATTAAAAATGTAGAATGAAGAAAACTACGTAAGTGCCTAGGTTTAACCGAGTAGTAGATGACAGGAAATTTCCCTATAAAGAAGCACTCCAGCTAAAACATATGCTTTTTTAGAAAAGCATAACCACAACCACATTGTCCAATGAAGAAGGGAGGTTAGAATTCAAGTATCAGCATTTCGGGATCCCGAATGAATGGATGGGTCCAGGCATTAAGATCAATGGCTGTGTCGATTACAAAAAGGGAGACAGTGAGACATCATGGGCCTCCTGACGGAAGTACAGGATCCTACCAATGATGTCACCTTGCCAAGAAAAGAAAGGAAGGAAATTGGCACCTGATGAAGCTCCTGGATGGAATTTCCATCTGCAGGGCGTGGGCAGGACAGAGGCGTGAGGGGACTGCACCGTCGGGGCACAGCCAGGAGAGCCCACAGTCGGGGAGGCTCCATGCAGCCAACGGCACGGTGCCTTCAACAAAGAAATTGCAAGGAAAGAGTGGATGGACGGGTCACTTGTGGGTTGGGGGCATGGAAGCAGGGAAGTGCAGGTGAAGGAAGACTGGCCAGGAGTCAGAGCTGGGTGAGGAGAACTGGGAGGGTCGCTGTCCTACTTTTAATATGCTTGCGATATTTTGTAATAAAAAACTAAAACAAATTCCTAGAGCTGTTGCTCTCTAGTTTTTAACTTATAATCATCATTGCCATTACTAAATTTCATCTGGTTTAAGACCTTCTCAGTTGTAAGAAGTACTATTATTTTATGCATTATCAAAAAAGAACTGCATGCTGTCAATTAAGTGATATGCCATTGATGAGCAAATGCATCCCAATGTCAGAAGTGTTAATGTGGAAACAACTTGTGTCTTAGAATCAATGAACATTATTATTATTATTATCATTATTATTATTATGTCATTATTATTATTATTAACTGTAGCCAGCATTTAAGAAGACTTACAATGAGCTAAGCTCTGTGCAAACATCCTCTTTAATCTCGTAGCAATCTTATGAAGAAGGTGATATCCTCATTTTATGAATGAGTAAACTGAGGCCCAGAGAAGCAAATTAACTTGCCCAGGGTCACACAGCCACCATGAGGCATAGTTGGGATTTGAACCCAGGATTGTCTAACCCCGAGCCTGTGCTCGTTCCTCCTTAAGAACCCATTCCCGGTGAGCAAAAGGCACAGGATAAGACAGTTTTCTGCACCAGGAGGCTGTTATCTCCTGCTAGGTCCACTCGCTGGGGCGGAGGGGAGGGGGCAGAGGGCACTCACAGGGTCTGGATGGCCCGCAGGGAGGTGAAGGTCCCCTTGGCGAGACTCTGGATCTTGTTGTCGTACAGGGAGAGAAGCGAGAGGTTCTGCAGGTCCTGGAAGGCATCAGGCCGGATGCAGTTGATCTTGTTGGCGTTCAAGAGCCTGCAGGCAGAGCCAGCGCCAGGTGGTGAGGGGACACGCACAGCACCAGACTCACCAACATGACCTGGGCACCTTCCTAGGTGCCGAGCAGGTGCAGGGGATCGGCCCCCCGGGCGTCCACTCCACGCAGAGGGGCCGAGGACTCCACCTGCCTTCTCCACGCACAGGGACTGACCGAGCCACCCCCTCTTCTCTCTCAAGGAACTGCCTGCAGTGCCCCCTGGCATTCTCGGGAATCAGAGGGCACAGCGGCAAGGCCTCCTTCCCCCAGGTCAGCTGGGTTCCCCAGGCAGCTGAGGGGGAGCTTGGGTTCCATGCCCCTTGGGCTCTGAGGGAGAACCCGTGCCTGAACCCTGATGGCTTGAGGAGGCTGAGCCGGGGCTGGGTGTCCCCAGGCAGGAGGCAGCTCTCTCCCAGCCAGGCAGACCTCCTGGGGACAGGAGCCTCTCCGCTCAGGCATCCTGCGATCAGCTCTGATCACCTCCCCCACCTCTGGCCTCTGCAGAGCCCCCAAACCTGTCATAGCTCTACTATGCCTGCCATCCTCCAGGCTCTTTTCGCAAGTGAGTCCCACACCCCAGAGAGGTGGACAAGGCCAGCCTGAAAGGCCCGAGGGATACCGGCGCCCTCCCAGGGCCCTGCCCAAGCACACCCTCGGCTGGGTCCTTACAGGAGCTGTAGGGTGTACAGGCCCCCGAACACACCCCGTGGGAGGTCTGTGATCTTGTTCCCATAGAGGACCCTGGAGAAAAGACAGCAGAAAGGGAGAGTTAGAGGACAGCCCGCCAGGCCGCGCACCACCACGGAGCCACCCTAGCGGTGTGGGTTTGTTGTAACAAGTTGCCAGCAGAGGGCAGTACAGTGGTTAAGTTGCCTGTTCCTGGTTTGCACAAAAGCACCCTATGGGCCAGCGGTGGCCGGCTGTCGCCCCCGTGACTGCAGGCAAGGTCCTCACTCTCTGCCCCCACCCATGGGTCCCACAGAAGCCTGCAAAAGGGACCCGTCAGGGAACCTCATGGGAAATTATCATGATCTGGGATCCAAAAGGAGGCCGTTCAAAGAAGAGAAAAATCTCATGGGCAGGAATAGTTAACGTAGGAGCTCTAGCATGTCAAGCAAGTCTGTCCAGCACAGATACACCACCAGGAAGAAACAGACCAAGGCATTAGCTGTGCTAGGATCTAGGTGGTGGGCTTGCAAGTGGGCTTTTTATGCTTCTGTATTTTCAATTCTAGACATTGAGTGTGAATTCCGCATAACAAGGAAAAAAAGCAGAGGTTCAAAAAAGATATGCAGGCAGAGTGAGTTCATGCAGACGACGAAAGAATCAAGGGGGTTGGGGAGTGGGGGGTATTTCATTCTTAATATCGCTAGCAGCCCCCACGACACCCCTCCCCCCACCACCGGCACATTCAGTTTGAGCAAAAACAGCGTGTGCTCTCTCTTCAAACATGGCTTCCAGATCATTCCTGGAGGAGAGCAAAGTCCCTGCTGTGCGATCCAGGCTGGCAGTGCCGGGAGCCCCCGTGTGGCTTAAGTGGAGGAAACAAATGGGACAGAAGCTTGGATTTCGCCCCCCCAGCACCAGGAAGCCTCTGAGACATGAAAAGGTCCCCATTTGGAAAGCTCCCTCCATCAGCCGTGTGGAGAAAGGTGTGGAGGGGACAAGGGTGGATGCAAGGAGACAAGGTTGGGGTCGCCCCAAGTGGACACTGTCCATGAGCTCTGGTTGCACGACCTCACATGAAAACTCCCCTATGATGGGGAGATGGCTGTGACAAGGTGCCCAGGAGCAACAAAACCCACTTAGACGGGTTACTGTCCTGTCCAATTTAGAAGAAGTCCCGTTCACTTCTCCGAGGAAGAGCCCTGCGTTGCGGCAGGCCACCTCCAGCGCCTGACCTCCTCCGCCAAGGACAGCGACCCATCTCCGCGCAGCCGCGCACTGCTGTCGAGGTCGTACACTGCACACCGGGAGTGGCGCCATTCACAGGAGCCCACTACCTCGGACTCGACTCCAAGGGAAGAAGGTGCGCGCAGAAGGCGTGGTCCGGCTGCCTCTGCTCTCACCAACGGGAGTTCCATCCTGTTCCGCTTCCCGGCACCCTAATCTGCGCGAGGCCTGTGGCCAGTGCTGCCGAGGGACAGGTGAAAGCACCACTCCTAAGGGTAGCAAAGGGCCCTGCCACTGGGGAGCTTGCCTCACATCAGGGCACCCTGAGTGACTCTCTGTATAGACAAAGTGCGGTGGGACCCCCAAGAGTGAGGGGCTTGGAGAATAGGGGTTGGGGGGAGGAGGCAAGTGAAGGGTTCTTGGAAAAAGAGAGATGAAGTCACATTTCCAAGATGAATTTTTTGGTGTTGCTAAATTTAATTTTTATTTTTCTGAGATAAATCGTTGATGCTGTACGATGCTTTGTGGATTGACAGACCCCACCACCCCCCAACTAGTAAACCCTTGAGGGAGAGAAATACTGGAGAGAGGTGGAGGAAATGCTGCGTTGTATCACCCACCACAACTTGGGATCAGAGCACGTTTGGGATGAAAGATACAGGTGTGACAGATGTCACAGCTGGAGCGGGCGGTTGCTGCCATTGTAGGTGCCCTGGGGAAGGCCCAGAGCACGCGGTGCTGGCCTCTGTGGGGAGGCAGGGCCAAGCGAAAGCTGGGCCGGATCAGGTGGCCGCTGCAAAGAATGCTGGAAAGATCTCCATGTGGTGGAGAGGGCATCCCAGCTGCCAGGGCAACAGCTCTGCCTAGATTTTCCATGCACTCGGTCCCTGACTCGCTGCCCCCTCCCAGCTGCAGAGGGTCCACTGGTGAAGAAGCGGGTGCTGGACACACAGCAACCCTGGGCTTCGCAGCCAAAGGGAAGCCCGTTGAGGCCGGCGTCAGCGGGGCCTGTGCTCCCCCTCCAGCGCCTGGCCGAGGGGCTCAGACTCTCCTGGCCTCCTTGGGGGACACCTGGTCCCCTGCAGGAGCCTTGGTGCTGCTACTCACAGCGAGTTCAGGGAGCGGAGGCCCTGGAAGGCGTCAGGAGCGATCTCTGCGATCTGGTTGTTGCTCAAGTCTCTGCACAGAGAACAGGAGAGAGGGTGGCTGAATCTGTCAGCGGCCACCAAGCCCTGCCTGGTCCCCTCCACTTCCCAGATGCTATTGGAGAGCAGGGGCTTCATTGAAATTAGAAAAGTGAGGGGTTTGTTCTCCCATCCATCGGAAAAACCCATGGCCACTATCGCCCTGTGCAGTCTGAGGGTCGTGCACGGGAGGGACACTCCAGGCTTGGTCTGCTTTTGACAAAGCTTCCCTCACCTCCCAGCTGTCTCCTACATCCCCTCTAATGTCCACCGTGGCTCCTATTGGTGCCTAAGCTGAAATGGGAGGATGACAGTTAATTCTGGTCATATGCCAGACTCGGGCTCCGCACTTAGGCTTCAGGACAACCCTGCAAGGAGGTCATCCTCACATCGCAGGCGAGCCACCTAAGGGGCAGGAACACCAGGCAGGGCCTTGCCCAGGGCCTCTCAGCCATCAGAGGCAGGGTCAGGACCTGCCCAGGGCTGTGGTATGTCAGGTCCAGGGTCCTCCTGCTGCCCCGTGCCAGCTCTCGGGAGGCAGTGGGAGGCACTCACATGCGCCGCAGTTTTCTGTATGGAGAGAAGGCTCCTGGGGGAATGGACTTGATTCCGTTGAGCTCCAGGCGGCTGCAGAGAGACCAGAGGAGGTGCTCGTCAGATCAGTCCATCCCGGCTGTTGTCTGCTGGGCTCGAACCAGGCCCTTTGTCCCCCTGCCCTGTTCCCATCCACTGTATGGGGTTGGGGGCTGGCAGAGAAAAGGGGCTGCTGTGATGTGAGCCCCTTTATCCCAGGCTGCCATGGCTGAAAGGTGCCCATGAATGATGCTAATACTAAGAAGCCAATTCTAGCAGACTCATGGGCTGGACAGATGGACCACAGAGGAGCGCCCCCTGCCCAGCCCTCCAGAGTTGCCCAGCCTTGGGCAGTGGCCGCCCAGCTCTTCACTGGACCACCAGAGCCCGGCCCGGTCCCAGGGCCTGTGTCCCCGAGCGTGTCCTGCCCTGTACTCACATCTCTGTCATGGTCTCGGGCAGGTTAGCAGGGATGGCGGTGAGGCCTTTGCCACGACAGTCCACAATGCCATTGCTGCAGGTGCACATGGCCGGGCAGGAGCCGGAGGAGAGGGTGCAAGAGGGCACGTGCCCTGCCTCCCCCTGGCCTGTGGAAACAGTGGGCTGTGACCTCGGGGTGTCCCTTGTCAGCACCCCCCTCCTGAGACACATGCTGATGAGTAGGGACAGGGCGCATGGGGCTTCTTCGGGTGAGGATGAACCAGAGATCACCAAGAACTCCGATGGAACTCTGTGGGCACCTGGCACAGATGGGTACTTGTTAGATGTTTGCTGAACTTGAATCTCAACTTAACTGTGGTACACTGAACTGTGATTCATAGGAAACTCTAGCCTAAGTTCTGAAGCTCTGGGTTCTCGTCCAAGCCACACAGCACTGTTACACCTGTCTCCTCGTCCATCACCGAAGGATGACAGCGACTACGTTTGCTTAGCCCTTACTCTGTGCCACATGCTGTGATAAGAGTTGCAGTTTCTCCTTTAATCCTACTGCTCAGCCTAGGAGAAGCATGGTATTATTGTGGCCATTTTACAGGTGAGAAAACAGAGCCCTTGCTATTAATTAATTTGTGGAAAACACACAGCTGATAGACTAAAACCAGGATGAAGCCCAGTGTCTGATAAATCACTTTAATTAACGTCTAAGTTATACAGAGTGCACCATCTTCAGTGTACAGCTGGGCTCCAACTTATGGATACACCCACAGAGCTCTCCCCGAAACAGGGAACATTTCTATCACCCAAGGGGGCTCATCTGCCCCTTCACCAATGTAACCATTATTCTGAGATCTGGCACCAAAGATGTGTTCTGCTTGTTTGTGGACTTTCCATAAACAAAATCAGACAGCAGGTTCTCTTGTATCTGGCTTCTTTTGCTCAATATAAAATCTTTGAGATTCGCCCATGTTGTGTTATTTGTTCTTTTTTTAACGCCGACTAGTATTCTATTGTATAGATAAGTCATAATGAGTTAATCCCCTCACTGGCTGGTGGACATCTGCGCTGTCTCCGACGCCAGGCTATTACGGAGAAAGCTGCCTTGGCTATTCTTGGACACACGTGTTCACAGAGCATATGCAGGTACCTGGCAGTGGAGTTGCAGGGTCACGGGAGACATATGTTGGGCTTTTGTGGATGCTGCTAAACAGCTGTGGGAAGTGGCTGAGCCAATTTACGCTCCCACCAGTGTTTTTTTTTTTTAATTACTCAGCTGAGGATATGTTTATTGATTTCAGAGAGAGAGAGAGAGAGAGAGAGAGAGACATCAATGTGAAGGAGAAACATCTATTTGTTGCCTCTCGCACACACTCCAACCAGGGATTGAACCACAACCTTGGTATGTGCCCTGACCAGGGATCAAACCCTCAGCTTTTTGGTGTACAGGACGATGCTCCAACCAACCGAACCACCCAGCCAGGCCCCACCAGAATTTTAATCTCTAATTCTTTCCTTAGCTCCCCCAGATGGTGGGTGCTCAGATCAAAGAAGACAAGACTATGAGGACTTCTGACACACAGAGAAAGTGGCCTTCTCAGAAGAGGGGTTGCCAGGGTGAACAGACACATGCTCACACCCTGTCACGTGTACACACTCACACACTCCCTCCACATATACGCTCACACAGTCACAGGTGCACACTCACTCGCGCTCACACACTCATATTCTCACACACACACTCACACACACACAGCAGCCCCGAGCACAGCAGGGTTCCGAGCAGTCGCAGGTGCTGCGCACCGGCCGTGGGAGGTGAGCCTCACACGGGGGCAGGGAAGCCGGGCCCTGGACGCACTTTGCCCTCGGAGCTCTGCACGGCTGGCAGGCTCAGAGGCCGCCGGGTTGGGAGAACTGGGCAGCCCCCAACCCTCTGTTGTGAACCTGAGAGCCGTTCACTCCCTCAGCAAACATTTCTTGAGCATCTCTCTGCCAAGCACAGACAAAGCGCTGGGGACATGGCCGGAAGCCATGACACGTGTATTCCATGTGCTTGCGGAGTTTACAGTTGGTCAGGGACACCCCAGAGAAGGCTCCCTGAGCTCTGCAGGGGAGGGGGAGTCAGCAGGCAATGGGGCAGAGGCTGTGCCAACAGGGCTGCAGCCTGCGGGGAGGCCGGGCGGGAGGAGGCACTCGCTCCGGGAAGGGGCGGCGGGGTCAGGCGGGACACACTGAGTGGAAGGCCTAGGGGTGGCAGGGGAGGCTGAGCGCAGTTTGGACTCTCCCAGGAGCACCAGGGGGCCAGTGAGAACAAGGCGGCAGTGACTGGCCCAGCCTCGGAGGTCCTTTTAGGCCTTTCTGGCCGCAGTATGGAGATCAAAGGGGCCAGAGAGGAATGGGGTGGGCAGGCAGGAGGCTCTCACGGGAGCCCAGGCAGAAGGTGCGGGGCACAGGCTCTGAGCCCACCTCATCTCAAGCCTAGGCAAGATGGGCCAAGTCAATGACTTCCCAGGGGAGCGGGGGTGAGGCGATTGCAGGAGGGAAGCCGTGGTAATGGGAGGAGGGAAAGTAGGTGGGACAGAAGGGGGCAGCGAGGGGAGGAGGGAATGGCGGGCAGGAAGAGAGGATGGGTTGGGGCAGGAGCAAAAAAGAGTGCAGGCCAGAGGCGACATGCGGAGACCAAGGCAGTGGGTGGGTGAGAACGGGAGAGACTAGAAGGACGGGGTGGGGGGTGCGGGGGGGGAGGCAGGTGGGCACCGGAAATGCAGACGAGGACAGGACCTGATGGGTAAAGAAAGGAGGTGGTGCGTAGGGACAGGGGGTGCTGAATAAGGGCAGGAGGTTGGGTGGGCCACATGGTAATGTGAGGTGGTGACAGGAAGTAACGGCGGGAGCACAAGATGAAGGGGCCGAGGGAAGCAGGTGATGGGCAGCCGAGAGCCCCGGCGGGCCTGCACCCACCTGAGCAGCTGAACTCGCTCTTCTGGACCTCGGCCACGTTGAGGCCGCGCAGACCGGTGGGGCCCGAGCACTGGGTGAAGAGCCCGATGGTTGGCCGCTGCCTCAGCCACTGTGAGAGCCAGGCCAGGTGGCAGTCGCAGAACAGGTGGTTGGAGTGCAGGCGGCTGCAGGGGGACAGGGCCGCTCACAACCCACCTGAGCCCCAAGACCCTGGCCAAAAAGTAGGGTCCCCTCTGCCTAGGGGGGCCAAGCCCTGTGCTGCACTCACGCCAGCGCAGCCTATGCGCCGTCACCTGCAGCTCCAACTCGGGGACCCTCCACAGCCGCAGGGAGCTCCCCAACGGCTGCCGCCCCCTCCCGGCCTGCTCGGGGCGCCCCCGCGGCTGGATGTTGGCTGTGTGAGTCTGAACTCACACAGACCCACTGCCCCAAACCACGTAACACATTTTCAACAAAAAGAAATGACTTGTTTTCCAAGGAAAAATCAAATGTAAGTGACATCCAACATCCTTTCATTTTAGATTAACTCCCCTGACTCCAGCTCCAATCAGCACTCCCTGCCTGGCCAGTCCTCTGCCTGTGGAGGCCGCAAGCCCCTGTCCCCACTGCCGTGGCACCGGCCACGCTTGGAGCTGCCCTCCCTGCCACCCGCGGCTGACTCACAAGGTGCGTAGCTTGGGCATGTGGTTGAAGCTGGATACGGGGATGGTGGTGATGTTGTTGTTGTTCAGCGTCCTGACGGGGAAACCAGAGTCAGTTAGCCTCTGTCCAGCAGGGACTTACGTGGAGGGAGAGCAGACCTTCTCTCTGACAAACAGGCAGACTCTCCCATTGTGTCCCATGGTCTGCATTCAGGCTGTGCTGGGGACCAGCGCTGGGCTGGCCCCGGGGCGGGGGTCAGGGGGGCTATGCCAAAGAGCATGAGATTCAGAGCCACCCTCAGGGAAAGCCCTGAGTGGAGGCAGCGCTTAGGAGGCAGCTCCAAGTCCGGCAGGACATGGGAGAAGGAGCAAGGAGAGGAATAGGACCAGTGCAGGCTTAAAGAAGGGGTGGGGTTTAGATAGCCCTGTGTCAGGAACTCCTGGAAGACGCAGCCCTCACGCTGGGGGCCAGCACAGGCCAGATAAACCCGGGTCCCGCCCCTGCAGGCACAAGGGCTCCGTGAGCATGCCTCTAGGAGGGCCTGCTACCTGCCTCCAGGTCTCCTGCCACCTGTGCTGCTCCGGGGCCCCAACTCCAGCTGCGTGGCCCTGGCACCTGCCTTGGCTGGACTCTCCAAGCCTCTGCTTCCCTTCCCAGGTTTTACTTACAGCACCTCCAGCCCCCGAAGAGCCCGGAAGGCCCCCTCCTCGATGCAGCTGATCTGGTTCTTGTCCAGCTGTCTGTGAAGCAAAGGAAGGGTGCAGAGAGGGGGCATGTTGTTGAGGGCAGGAATGTTCAGACGTTTTTATCAAGCACTCCATTCGCTTTGTTTTTTCAGAGTCCTGACCCTCATCATTTGTTCAGCCCAAATGTGTCAATCCAAACAGTGAATGGTCATAGCTTAAATTATTCTTCACTCTTAGTTAAAACAATAAATGTAAATAAAAGCTTTATTATATTCCTTTACATAACCTTGCATATCTCCTGGGGAGCAGGCACCCTGCCCCGTTTTGGAGACCACCTAGAGGGTGCTGGCAGCTGAAAAATGAGTCTGTCACAGGAGCGATGGCAGCCAGAGCTGGCAGGCAGATTCCGGCCTGAGTGCCAAGTGAGGCAGACTAGCTGTGGCTACCTGGAGCGCGGCTCTGAATACACTGAAGCTTGGATCTGGGCTCCTTGGGAAAGAATGCTGAGATCAATTACCAGTGTCGGCCGCAGGCCTGGGGGCGGGGTCAGGGAGCGACCAGCAGCCAGGCATTTGCCATCCCTGCAGCAGTCAGGCTTCAGGGAGGTACTAAACTGGGACCAGAATAAATTTGCATAAGAATAAGCCATTACATTTAAATCACATTTGATTATGTGCCAGGCCTTATCTCATTTAAACGTCAGGACAAGCCTGGGAGTGAGTGTGAGATCCTCATTTTACAGAACAATATTCTGAGGCTCCGTGGAGATCGTGGAGATCGCTGACTTGCGGCAGCTTATACCACAAGTGTCTGAAAGAGAACGCACTGAAGGGCGAGGGCACGGAGACAGCCCATTCAGGTGGGCCAAGAACAGCACCTTAGGACCCCGCTGTTCAAGACATTCCCTTCAGCCCAGTCTTCAAAGGCTGCTTGTTTCCTCCAAATCCAGATTGTTCCAGAAGACCATGCTGGCACCAGCCACCTCAGAGCCCAGCAGCTCCTTGGCTGCCTGGACCCCGGGGCTCGGGGACACCCACAAGGACACTGCCAGGGTGGCCCTGCAGCCCCCAGCCCCTCTCCATCCCAGGCCCGTACTCACAGGTTTTTGAGGTCTGTAGCTCCACGAAAAGCCTTCCTGGGGATAGCCTGGATGGCGTTCTCACTCAGGTCCCTGTGAGGATTGAGCCAAAGGGAGAAACACTGGTCAGAAGAGACCTCTCTAGAGGGCCCTGATGAGCCAGGGGGGTCAGGGGTGGCCGACAGAGGGACCGGTCACAGCTGCATCCCAGGACCTGCGACGGTGCCTGGCGCACAAAGGCTCTGCGTGTTTGTTGAATGAATGAATGAATGAATGAGCTGGAGCTTGGTGCCCACCCATCTCCCAGTCTCTGGGCAGAAGGGTTGCACCTGGAGGGAGAAGCGTGGGGCATGGGTGCCCAGCTCTGGCAGACCCCACAGAGGTCAGCTCAGCCCCAGGGATGCAAGGAGACAGCAAAGCGGGGGAGGGCTCCCCGAGGGGCCCACAGGCACCCCAGGGCCTGTGGGGAGTGCACCTCCGAAAGCTCACTTTCTGGAAAAAAGCACCTCTGTGCCTCAGGCAACCCAGCCAGTAGGTGGCCACCCAGGTCTGAACTCCAGGCTGGGTCTGCCTCCAGATCCCTCCCTCTCAAGACTGCGAGGGACCTTTTCACTGCAGACATGAACAAATGTCCCTTTCCTTCCCACAGCAGTGGCACCAGCTGCCATGGGTTCTGAGGATGTCGCCCAGGCCACACTGCCAGCACTTCACATGCGTGAGTGCACCTGACCCTCACACTGTCTGTGGGCAAATGCTATTTGTTGCCATCCCCATTTCGCAAGGAGGAAAGGGAGGCTCAGAGGAGTTAAGCAGCTTCTTCTCGAGAACACAGCAGGCCGGCGGGGCAGGGGGGAGGTGGCTGCAGAATCTGAACCCAGGCAGGCAGACCCCGAGCAGCCCTGGGGGTGGACACTGTTACCTCACCCACTCTGCAGAGGAGGGAACTGAAGTATTTTACCCCAGGCTGACCAGGACGGGGACCCAGGCAGTCTGCCAGAGAGCCCAACACCTGACACTGCAGGCCACCAGGGCTGACTGTCCTCACAGGGGACCCCATGTCAGGCCATCCCGCAGACCCCAGCCCCTTCTCCTGGGCCAGACGCTCGGGGCTTGATCATCTTCTTCCCATCACCCATCCCTCCCATGGGCCTCAGGCTTCGCTGTGAGCCCTGAGAACACGCCCACAGGGCCCCCAGCATTGTCCCCTGAGCTGCGGGAACTTTCATTGCTCTGTCTGGGTTTTTCTGCTGAGACAAGGAAACAGAAGGACTGCGGGAGAGCGCACAGGGCCCCGAGCGCAGAAAGGCCGGTGGGAGTCCCAGCTCCCCCAGCTCCCCCACCTCCTGGCTGGGCGCCTACGGCCAACCCAGTTCCTCTGTGTTATGCAAGTAATCCGTACCACTGTCCCACAGCCCATACCAGCTCTATTGGTCCCTTGGTATGTGGGCTTGTTCTCTCTCTCTTCTTCAGCGGGATGCTGGGCGGGGTCATTTGACAGGTAAATTACTTAATTGGAAGCAAGGACTGAGCAGGCCACCGAGATAAACAAGATGGCCCGCACCCAGGGGCTCACAGCCACAGTAATTAAGAACCAAGGCAGACGTGGGAGCCTCACACAGAACCAAACCGGCCTTGATGGAGCATCTCTACACATCCGTGACAGCTGGGTTCACATGTGCACAGGCAGCCACAGGTGCACTGAGTACCCTAAAACACCCACAGCCTTAGGGGGGCACACAGGAAACCAGTGAACGAAATCTCCATTCCGTCATTCAGCAAGTGTGTGCTGGGAGCCGGCTGCCTGCTGCGGATACTACAAAGACTCACACTGCAGCTTACAATAATCATTGGAACAGCAGTATTTCCAAAGAGACGTGCGAGCTCAGAGAAGCGCGTAACGCGCTCTATCTGAAGGGGGCGGAGAGGAACTCTGAAGCGGATCCTGAAAAATAAGTCAGAGCTTACCAGACAGAAAAGGGAAATGAGGGAAGCATCTCTGAGCAGTGGGAAGAGCAACTGCAAAAGCCCGAGGGCACAAAGGATCAAGGCAGGTGGGCTGGGGTGGGGGTGGGGGTGGGGGAGATCACACAGTTCGGTACACTGGCATGTGTCTATGGGAATTTTGCAGTGGTTTTAAAATTTGTCCACAAATTCTTTGATATCCGTCTCTTCAAAAGATGGAGCTTAAATCTCCCATAAATTGTGGGTGGGATTGAGCAACTCACTTCTGAAGAATAGAGTATGACGGAAGCGATGGACAACTTCTGAGATCATATCATAAAAGATCCTGCTATGTAGCTTCCTCCTTACTCTCTGGGAGTTCGCTCCCTCTGGGAGAAGCCAGCCACGAAGTCACCAGGATACAAGCGGCTCCCTGGAGAGGCGCACGTGGAGCGGACCCGGACCCGAGGTCTCCTGCCGGCAGCCAGCACCGGCTGGCCAGCAAGGTGAGTGAGTCATCATGGGAGGAGAGTCTCAGGATGAGGCAGCCCCTTCTCTCTGTTTGTGTCCCCGCCCAATTCAGATGTTGAAATCCGAATGCCCCATGTGATGGCAGTGGGAAGCAGGGGCTTTGGGAGGAGCTCAGGTCATGAAGGCTGGGCTCTCGTGAATGGGGTCAGTGCCCTGGTAAAAGAGTTCTGAGAGACAGCCATTGCCCCTTCCTCCCTGGGAGGGCGCAGCCAGGAAGTGAAGCCTCGCCGAAGGCCAAATCTGCCGGCACCTGGATCCTGCACTTCCCAGCCTCCAGAACTGTGATCAATAAATATTTGTTGTATATAAACTACCTGGTTTCTGGGATTCTTGTCACAGCAGCCCCCACCTGCATCTTGACTGCAATCTCATGAAGCCAGAGCCACCCAGCCACCTGCAGGAACTGTGACATAATACGCGTTTATTTTTCCTTTAGGCCACTATATTTTGAGATGCTTGGCTTTACAACAATCAAAGACTAAAGCAGGGGTGCTTTGCGGGAACGACCTAAGAGAGGAGAGGCTTAGACACTGTGCTGGAGAGCACGGTCCTGGCATAAGGGCATGAGGACCCCTGGGAGCTTCTGAGGAGGGCAGGGCAACGCTTAGACGCGGCATGACTGGGCTGAAATATGTTAAGGATTGGCTCCATCACGTCCCTCTTTGGGCCTCAGTTTTGTCACATGCAGAGGCTGGACCAGATGATGTTACTCTCCTCACCAGTGGGAGCGCACTACACACCGAATACTCCCAGACATGGCAAGTGAGGCTCTCGGCTCCTGGGGCAGTTGAGGCTCCAGGGAGGGGGTGAGGGGCAGGGGGGCCCATTGCTGACGGCATGGCTTCTGAGAGGAGTGGGATGAGAGAGGACAGACACAGCTACCCTCCTGCTCCTGCCCACAGGGAATCGGAGAACAGAGCCCATGTGGTGAGGGCAAGACAAGGGCAGGGAGGACGGCGTCCAAGAGCCACCGACAGAATCAGGAAGACAGAGGCCGCCCAGGGGGCGAGGACCTCCTGTGGGACCCGCGACGTGGCCCCAGCTGGCCGTTGGCCCTTCGGCCAAGCCTGGGAGGGAACTCTGGGCTGGAACTCACATCCATTATTCTGTTTAATCCTCACAACAACCCTGCAAGGGAGGTTTTTCTATTTGTATTGATTATTTTATTGACTTAGGCCAACCTTGTTCCAGAAAGGCTTTGAGGTAGTTTATAGGGATTTTTAAAACAGCAAGAGAGCAGGAGTGAAAAGTGGGACAAAGAGAAGGAGAGAATCGATGGGACATACCAAGGATGCAGCCCCGGGTGACCCACACCCCTGCCAGGCCCAGGCAGAGCATGTGAAAAGGGCATACTGGCCAGTTAATGGCCCCCAATATATAGATAAACTTAAAAGGACCAGATTCTCCAGAGTATAGCTATTTGAGGCACTAAGATGAGACAAGAATTTCCCCAGGGGTCTTTGTAAAAAAAAATGACAGTGTGGTCTAATCAATAACATTAGATCCTTATAATAAATGGGTTTCAAGTGTCTGCTTCTTACAACAGCATCACATCAAAGTACAGTTCAGGAAAAGCAATTCTATAAAAACTCACACCAGGAGCTATGTGGGCAGGGAGGGGCAGGAACACTCTTTGCAAAGGAAGGCGACACGGTAGAGTCTTGAACGATCCAGGAGCAGTTGGATTTGCCTGGAGAGGAAGGTGCCGGGGAGAGGTGTTGACAGAAAAAAAGCCTTGCAGGCCAGGGACAGCAACAGACTAGACCAGAGAGGGTGTATCCGACGATCTTTTAGACATTGTGCTGGGGCCCAAAAGCTTACAGAGGAAGGACGCTGGCCCTGGGCATAGAGGCGGTACAACACCAAGGGACAGTCCAAGAGGTGAGCATCCAGAGACGGAGTGGAGCTGAGCTGACCTGGGACCTTAGGCCCAGCCCCGGGCCAAGCCACAGCAATGAGCAGCTCACATTGTTTAAATGAAAGGAAAAGGAATTTGAGACCCTGGAAGAGGCCGGCCTCTCGACCAGGAAGCAGGTGAGCCTTGGCAGTCTGAGGAAAATGGAGCACGCTGGCAGCAGAGCGGGTGGTGGAAAGGGCTTGACTCTGCAATGACAAGGTTCTAAGTTCTATTCCTGCTTCTACCATTTATCAGCCGTGGGACCCAGGAAGTTATGCACCTGAGAGCTATAGTTTCCCTATTTGTAAAATGGGGATAAAAATACCTACCACATTGGGCTTTGGAGAAGATTGAGTTAATGTATTTAAGCCTCTATCCTTTTACCTCTGGCAAAATTTAAGAAATGCTGGCCGTTGTCCGGCCCCAAATAGTCTGTCCAACGCTTTCCATAGGTTCTGACTATTGTTTCCAGCATTTCCTCTAGGGGGCGCCAGATGCCTTCCCTGGACTTGGATATCCTCTCGCCTCACCGCAACACAGAACAAAGCTATTCTTTCTTTTTATTTACTTTTTTTTGCTCCAGTTGACTTCCTACCTGGTCAACAATTGTTTTGTATTTCCACAACCACTTGAAATAAAGTTTCTCATCTCCATTTTCACCCAGTTGGCATGAAAACCCAAAAGGCGCCACCTACATCTTTGTCCATCACATTTTACCAGTCCT